TAATTTATAGGAGTGTAAATTTGCGAAATTTGCGTTAACGTGACAATTGAATAAAACTGAAATATCGTAATTTTGGCGTGAATAGGTGTCATTCTTTTTTTTGTTGTTGTTGTTAGAACTGAAGCACGCAAGCAGTGTGCACTTGAAGGAGCCTGCGAAGCCAATAAGCAATGCTGCAAACCTCGGAGATGCACTGCTGTTTGCTTTACTCGAGCTGCGGAGGAAACCGTGGACGCCGAATAAAAAGTTCCAAGTTTTCTAGTAGAACTAAGGCATTTAAACGACGCTGTCTAGTCATTAAGATGATTTCTCATCAGGGGCGGCGCCAGGGGTGGGCAGGGGAGGGGGTCTGGAGCCCCCGAAAAATTCCCCCCCCCCCTTGCCTCCAAAATAGAACATAGTCCTAACTAGAAAGCTAAGATCCCCGCCTCCCTGAAGGAACTCATTTATCGTGGGTGCCCCCGGTAATCCTGGCGTCGACCCTGCTCGTCATCCTTGCCTGAATTTCTGTTCACCAATAATATCGCCGTTCTTCAAATCAAGCAAAACCGAGGCATCCGACAAACCTGGTTTAACCACGTTCGATCACGGTTTTTTTTTTTTTCTTCGCACGCAATCACCCTGCCCTATAATTGCACCCTCGGTTATGTCTGTGCTGCGTATTATGTAACCGGACCTGTGTCACTCCAAACCTGAAGTCGATTAACGTTTTATTTACAGTTGTTCCAAGCGCGAAGAAAATTTTCATATTTCCTGGTCGTGCTCCTACATTACTTGAAGACAACAAACTTGGGCGACCACCTGTAGACTGCGTGTGCTTTCCCGAGTGTGCTCGTGATAGTGTGTGCCTTTCTCCCCATTCATACCTTCCCCAGTGCAGGGTAGCAAACCGGACGTGCGTCTGGTTAACCTCCTTGCCTTTCCTTGGATCTCTATCTCTCTCTCTTGTGGCAATGAGGCGAAAGCTACGGGGAGCGGAGCGTGTTACTGCGCCAAAGTAGTTCCCCATGATCTGGCTTGGAAAGTCCCGGTTGCGTCAGTCACACTTGGGCGTACACGTTGCAGACCAATTGCTTCGTTCGTTCTGACAGATTTTAGCACTCAAGCTTCTTGAAAATCCATCGCGGCGAGCTAACGGAGGAAGAAGGCGCCGTCGACGCAGAGGTCTTTTTTTATTAGGGGCGAAGCTCCTTATGGCATGGCTTGTGCGTCCCTCGTTGTAGTGCGTAACCACCGGTGACACATACCCGAAAGAGCGGTCCTTAGAATGTCCGCTGGATTGCGGCACTTGTATATGATGAATACATGATCAAGAGATCCGAGATGGCTGTACTTTGAGTGTTAACTAGATGGACGGACAGATGGACGGACGGATGGACAGACAGTGGGACGGCTGTACGAACAGACGCACGGGCCAACGGACTGACGAACGCTTCGCCTCACCAATCATTATTCACTCCGTGGATATGCTGCGATTTTTTTTTTCTGCGGTAAACCAATGCGACGCAAGTGTAATAATTTCCTACCATTATCAACTAGCGGCTGAAAAAATAGCAATGGAACATTTTTGCATGCTTAAGTTACGGACAGCTAACTTTTTTTTCTCTCTATTTCTTGTCAGAACAACTTCCAGCTGCGCAGCGAAACTACCGAAGCGGCGTGGTTCAGCTCTGTAGCCTAGACTGCACTGCCACAGAAAGTTTTCCCCGAGTATGGCTCTCTGCACATTGTCTAAGATTTGAAATTCTAATATGACTCAGGGCCGCTTGCCGCATCTACTAGATGCGTCAGTCTTCAGCAGTTTCCGGGAGGTGGTTTTGCCGCAGAGCACGGGGGCAAGCAGCCGTGCACGCTTTACAGGCGGAAGAATCAACACAGCTCCTGGGAATTCTAAATAATAACATAAAATGCACACCTTAAAATGGCATGTTAAGCCGCTTTCACGTGAGCTGCAGTGCTAAAAAAGTACAAGCTTAACACAATGCGTATATTGCACGTATCCTTATCGCACACAGTGTAGAATAATGTCGCAAACACCCTCTTACACTGTATTGCCACAGAACACTGGTAATACTTATTAAGAATGTAGAGGGAACTAAAGCACTGCAATTTTCCGTATTGCCCGAGTAGGCAGCAGTGCCAGCGATATCTTACGTCACTGCGGATACCCAGAACTGGCGAATTAAATTCTGGAGTCTAACGTGTCCACGCAGTATCTTCAGGTGGCCCGCCTCAGCGTAGAACTCCGGATTAATTTCAACCACCCCGTATTCTTTACCGTGCACCTCGGTCCACTTTTTCTTTCTACTGCATTCATAAATGTCATTGACGTTTCGTTACATAATGCTTATCAGCGCTAAGTTAGACGTTGTTTCTCTATGCCTTGGTTTTATCCCATGCTCCCTCTTTTTTATCACGAACTGTTCACTTTTCCCTATGCGTTTCCAGATGAGGAGAGTATTCTCGGGCGAATACCGAGTGTAAAAAAAAAAAAAAAACTGCACGGCGCAAAAGTGGAGCATGCGCTGAAAGACCACGTCACCGTTTGCAGTCGCTCACGCCAGAGGGACCAGCGGAGAGGCGTTTACAGCAAAACGTCAAATAGAGCCACACTGGTAATTCGCCCCCATTGCAATATTCGGGCCGGACGAGTTTTTCTTTCTCTTTCCCCTCCATCTCAGCCTTTGTTCTTCATTCCTTTTATAAAGATTTTTCCACTGTATACGAGTAAAACTTGGGCACTTTGTAAGGTCAAAGGCGTGTTCGGCAAGTGCCTGTAGCCGCTCAACTGACTCCACATTTATTTATTTTTTTCTTGTATATTTTTTAACACTGTGCCATCACGTGGTTGCCGAGTGTGAGGGGAGGAGGCTACACCTGACACCGCTCCAGGACACGAGTCACGGATCGACGGACACGAGTATGAGACATTAAAGGGCTTTCACCTTTTCCCTACTCACCTTTCATACTTTCAAGCATTCACTAGTGCTGAACCCGAATTCACACAAGGAGTACTTTTAAAAGAGAATGCGTAATGGGCACTAAAGATCTAACATATTCTCAAGTTTGCTGGAAACACATGCTTGATAACCATTCAGCAGAAAGCTAGTATTAATCTGAGCAATCTGTTTTACTTGTTGCATGAAACCTTTTAAAGGGGTCCTGAAACACTTTTTGAGCATGGTCAGAAAACGCTGCCGATCGGTAGTAGAGGCTCCCGAGAACACGCGAGCCAAATATTATAGTGCAGCAAGCGGTCTGGAATTCACTATATATTATCAAAATCACATAAAAATTGCTTTCTCTTCTGTTGACAAATGACGAAAGACACTCAAAAATCACTCGTAGAACGCCCATCTATCAGCCATTGGCTGATTTGAACATGGCGCGCTCAGTCGTTACAGAGATCGCTGTGGAAGGCCGCGACTTGTCCACGCGTGCACACGCAATCACACTGAAAAAGTCCTGCATTCTAAGAAAAAAGTTCTCAAAGTCACAAGGTGCTCGTGACATATTTTTCATTGCCCCTTCCACCTCTCCCTGCTTAGCCTCCGGAGCTTTCGTCAGGACGAGAGGAGAGAATGCAATTGCAGCATGCGACAAATCTTAGCAACTCCACTCGCACTGGACGGATTTCCAAAATTTTTGTGGCATTGAATTCGTGAGACAGTAAGCTCTCCCAGTGAATTCATTCCACGGTTACCTTAAAAAGTGTTTCAGGGCCTTTTTAAGGACTGCCATGTATGATACTCGCAAAGTAGAACCACAGCAGATGTACTAATTAAATGTTCTCTGAATGAATGGGCCACACTCTACACATTTGTCAAGTTTTTCTTCCTTCTTGCAGTAGCATTTCATGTTTCTTCAAACCCACAGTGTTGGCTTAGCAAGAATGAAAGAACACGAATTGTTCAAGGGCATGTTTGCTTTGTTGGACAACACCATGAAACCAATGGACAATTAATTGAAAAGTGTGGGTATGTTCTTTTAAATGAACTAAAGTAGATTAAAAAAAACTACTTCCATCAGTGTGGCCCAAACTCACAACCTTCGAATAGCAGGCAAAGAGCCGCGCTGCCTTGCAAGCTCGAAGACGCAGTGTTGATTCCCGGCCACGGCGACTGGGTTTAGATGCAGATGCAATGCAAGCACACCCATTCATTAATTTAAACACACCCTTCAACTAAATCCAGGCAGTGAAAATTAATCGAAAGCCTCTCGCAACATGATGCCACATAATCATCATGTACACTGCATTCCCGCACAATTTCACACTGCAAGAAATTTCAATCACAAAGTGATTTGCATGAGTTGATTTTCTGTCCAGCTCTAGGGCTATTCTTCGTCCTCATTTATTTGAGTTTTAAAGCGCCAAAGCTATGCAGCACACACAGCAGGAGGTTCCAGGTACATTTTTACCGCGTTAAGCTGCTTCACCTGCATACCTCAATATACCCAGAAGCTTTCACACCTCACTCCAGCTGCAATGTGGCCACTGCGGCTGGGATTCAAACCAGTTCCTTCATGCCTAGCGGACAAAGTGCAAGTATACACACATCTTGGCACGTGGCTTCAGGGCTATTTGCATTGTACTCCGGTACAGTGTCCTGTGAGTGTACTGAAGTAGTGTGAGTAATTTGAGCAATGAACGAAAAGCCGCATCGCACTTAAGCACAAAATAGAAGTAGTGCAAGCAGTATCTACATCATGACATTTGTTCCATGAGCGGCTGAAACTTTACTACATATCACTTTCAAGGCCCCAAAATTGCTTTTTCGCAGCAAATAAATCGGAATGGAGCACTGAGACTTTGTTTAAATGGCTGCAGCCATGTCGGCAATAGTAATAAACCTATCCAGTGACCATGTAAATGTTGCACACAGTCATATGCAACGATAACCACACCGATGCCAACCAATAGATAAATACTCAAACCACCACGATACATACACTTTGCTGGTTCCCATCACTTTCTTCTTTGCAAAACACAAGGCACAAACATACGTACAGGGCACTTCAGGCCATAATCTTTAATTTTCTGCTTCAATTCATCTTGATGCAATCAATGCAAGCATCTGCAGCAACGCTGTAAAGACAGGACAGACAATGAAGAACTGCAACCGAGTTATTCCTACACATAAACGATTCAGCACGCTCGTAGGAGGGGGTAGGGTTGTAAAAAAATATATTAGTGCACTTTGCATGTACAAACAGTCGGGAACAAAGGGACGACACTACGGGGTATACAATGACATGGAAAAAATGAAAGAGGGAACGACATGAGAAGCGTACGGTAACTGGACAGAAAAAACAGAGCACAGGTGGAGACGAAGCTTCAGCACTTAATCAGCACAAGCAAAGTACCGTCTCTAACGGTTCGCCATACTCAAAGAAAAGTGGGCAGTGATTAAAATGCAAGGATAAAATTGCTGAATGGGAACTGCATGCAGCTATGTGGACACACCACTCTCAGAGTACTGTAGTGAACAAAAGTTCCTAGGACTCCATAGATCACCTTGTGAGCTCGATGCAGTAAACCAGAAAGGTAAAGCCAGTCAAATAGAATGCAGAGCAAAGAGAAGGGCTCGTCTGTTCTTCTGCCTCTCGTGTCCTGCACAACCATTGCTGCTCCATCAAAAATATTTGTAGCACACAACAGCTGAGCCCTCCTCCTTTCTTAGAATGAACTGGCTGTCACCACTGATTGGCTGAAACGATTCCTAGCCTTCCTTTTGCACCGCACGAAGTTACAAGACAGAATAGAGGCGCATCCAAAAGAGCACCCGCCCCCATTTTACGTTGTCACTGGCGTGTCCTAAGCCCTTCTGTCCATTTCTGCCACGTAATGCTGCTTACAGTGCCAAAAAAGAAAGGTAGAAAAAACGAGGCAAATAATGTGCCAGCCACCTCCAGGCTCAACAAGCAAGCCTGTTCTACAAGTTACCTGCTGTTCTTGCTTTCACACAACATCAAGGCGTTTTCCATTAAGTTATGACGCCCATATGCAATCAGTCACTTCTGCGATGAGAATGGGCCTGATTTGAGCACACGAAAAAGCGTGTGCTTATACTGCACAATCCATTCAACTCTCGACTCGAAGCTCATGTACAGCTAGACCCAGCAAAACAGATGCGCTCAATTTTTAATATAAATTCCTGGTCTTAGATTTCACAACACAATCAATTGCTGGGCAACTGTACATAATCCATGTGATAAGAACGACTTTTTTTTAAAAGTGGGGGATCGAGAGAAAGATAGAGGCGAAGTAGGTACAGCAAGTGAGGACATCACTGATGCCGCTCCTTGCGTGTGGCTGCCTGCTTCTGATTGCACAGCAGCACCAGGTTCTGCACCGCGGTCAGCGTGGACTGCTCGTTCTGGCCTGTCACTAGGTGCCGGTCCACCACCACGTGAACTTCGTCGGGGTCACTCGCTAGAAACAACCCAGAAATAGTGTCACGTGGCATTCTTTAAAAGATATATTTTTCAAAACATAACAGCTTAAAATTCCGTAGAATCTTGATAATTTTAACTACTGGTTTTATAGAAAACATAACAGCTTAAAATACTGTGGAACCTCAATCATTCAAACTGTTGGCTATTTCAAACCAATTTTTAATTTTTGGCTCACCTGCTATGTTTTAAAGCTGCATAATGCAAGCTGCTCCATTATGTAAATTTGGTTAATCTATACTTTTTGCTTGTCTGTTCTTGAAAATATCTGTCGATGTTTCTTCTAACTCAACACTTACAGTTACAGGCATCAACAAAACCAATCACCTGCATACAAAGCAGTCAAACTAGCCAAACTGCACGCACCATTACATGTTCACTGAGGATGAAAGAAGGTGACATAATAACAATTGCTGGGGTTTAACATACCAAAACCACCATATGATTATGAGAGATGGTGGAGTGGAGAGCTGAACAAATTCTGACCGCCTGGGGTTGTTTAACGTTTATTTGAATCCAAGCATTTACGCCTCCATCGAAAATGCAGAAGCCGCGACCAAGATTCGATCTCACGACGTGAAGGTCAGCAGACGTGTGCTTTAGCCACTAGACCACCGTGGCGCGTTGAAATAAAGCAAGAAAACGAAAAAGGAGCATTGGTCCAACCTTACTAAACCGTACAGTGCCACTTCAGCTACAGTACACTGCTGTCAGGCAGGAAAGTGAAGTAAGACTGGTGCGACACTGCATTACTAATTGCAATGCATTCTTTAATTACAAACATATGCCTGCATTGAGCAATATCAAGTATTAGTACATTTGCTGGTGTGTAAAGACATTACCGGTAATCATGCAGACTTGTCTATGACGCTGCTGCGGCCCTCAGAAGCAAACATCACACCAAAAGTTTGTATGTTTTCCCGTCATATTAATGGGAACGTCTGGTAATTAAAACTTTATATATTGTAACTTCTGATAATTCACTGCATCTGATGTAATATTAGTATTCTTATCATACCAGAAATCTAGTCTTATGCAAATATTTTAATGACTAGAGCGAATACTACAGTATTCAAATTCTCTGCGATTCAAATTTAAGTTAAACAACTGCACGATAAGAGGTGAAAATGTCTGAAGAATTATTTTTATTGTGAACAAAGGTTTCTGAGAACATGGGGCAGACATGGGATATGTCTAAAGTATCAACTGTACGAAAACAGCAAACAAACAGCTGGTGATTTAGGTCAAATTTGCAAACATTGAGCAATAGACGATCACTAAAGAAAATGTTAAGATGCACTTCAACAATTTAAAAAGTATCCATAAGAATGCAAACCAACTAGCCCGACTCTCCCTTTTGCTGCAGTTAAAAAGTTTCATTTATAGAGATGTTCGATGATACAACAGACAAGAGTTCTGAGGAAGTGATGCAGAGTGGTGACCAAAATTTGCCACTGCTGCGCAGGGTAACGTCATGCTAGGTTTTACATTGAAGAAGATTTTGCCATCACAATCTGCTTCGTCAAGGCGTCCAGTGCTGACTTTCGTATCACATATGCAACACAGAACACCTAAACATCACTGAAAGACAGCAGGGGTCTTCTGTTCTTTTCGCGAAGCACGTCTCATGTTAATTTTAGTAGGACAAATGGGATGAGTGAAACCACTACAGTTCATTTCATATATGCACTGACAAACCAGTGCTGCTGCAACAGACTAACTATTTCGCACGACTGCGGTGGTTTTTCAGGCTGACTAACCAAAGCTGGAGAACTGTGGTGATAATACTTTATTTGACAATTTACATGCCTTAAAGGACCACAATGGTATTTGTTTTACAATTAAACCAAACGTGCCAAAGCTAGCGAGAACTGCACATGGTTTCAGTTTTCGAGTTTCAACGGCAAAACAATCGTCATTGCCTCCACCAGCCAGTGTTTTGGGCACTCATCACACCAATGAAAGAAGACCAAATGCAGGGCAAAACATTCTGTTTTAAGAATTTCCACAAGATTTCCAAAGAAACGACTGCAAGGTTGGGCACTTCGGATGGCGCGCTTTTTATTGCAATACAAAAGAGCAATGCGGTAGAGTTTACCGTTCTTGAAGGGACTGTTTTAAATTAAAACAGTCCCTTCACTATAGTGATGCATTCTTGAGGAAGAGAACGACTATTCTCTAGAGAAGCCGTGTATTTCCAGCCTTTGTATTCGCCCACACACTTGCAATGGGTGGGCCATATTTTTAGATCCTCTCAGAATTTTCTCATGAGTGAGAGTGAAGCTACATCTGATGCGCTCAGATTCCAACTGTCTATGCTAAAGCAGCCACAGAGAGAGCCATTTGTAGCCAGTGTGGGACATTGGGACACCCAAAGGTATTAGAGGTGAGTTCAGGCATACAAATTAAAACAATGAAAATCCTGGTGGCACACACAATACACACTGTGCAATAAATCATGGCCCCAAGAACTACTCACAGCTGTACAGGGCTCCTCGATCCTTGATGACGTCTTCGGGGATCACAGGAAGGTTAGCAAAGTCGGGGCTGCGGGCAAGCTCAAACACGGAGACCTGCATTTAAATACATAAGACTGCACCGCCTGCCACAAACACTGCATGGCACAGCAGCATGCTGAAAAGTGAGCTTTTGCACCAAGTGCATGGCGGAATGAGAAAACTACCATAAAATCCCGAAGAAGTGCCCCCTCCCAATCTAAAATTTTACACTGATCCAGAAAAGACTGCCCTCCCCCTTTAACAAGCTCAGCGCCCCAACCATGCATCGCATTCATGCAACACTGACCTGCTTGAATCTCATACAGCCCTGCTTAGCAGCCCAATCTCCAAGCATCTTCGTGTAAAACTTGTCAAGATTTGATATCCCCCCCTCCCTCCACATACTGATAACTTTCCAAACTTAGTACACAACACCAACGATGACTTTCAGGGTACCAAGGGCAAAAACATGGCCTTCATTATCTGTGTTCTTCAGATGGTATGTGAAAATGTGGTCAGCAAAAGTAGTGTCTCAAAGATCTGTGTGTTAATAGAACTGTTCATTTGCTCATCACTAGAGGTGCTTCCATGCCTTGCACCCTACAGTATGATAGTGTCAGCATAGTGCTTTTTGACACGTTGTAATGCACCACGTCATGAATGAGAGCGACAAGACTTTAGGGTAAGTCCACTTGTCCCACAGACTGGGTATTTTTCTGCAACAGGAAAACATTGATGCCACCGTACTAAATTTTTGTGACCTTCTGGGAATGTGCCCCTTCCTCCCTCTTCACTTTAACGGCAATTTCAAACTAACCCTGCCACAAACAAACTGATGTGAAATAACAAAGAGAATGATGCGCAATCACTGGGGTATGCACAAACTACCAATAGTTATTTCTTGTGGCATAGTGCGCATGAACCCAGACGAGCAGTCAGCTCATGAACTGAGTTCACCTCAGATTCCAGTAAGTTGCAACATGACGGCACAACAGGATCCGTGATTCCCCACTAAATCATGGTGACACTTAGTGGAAACCTTTGGCAAGACCCATTAGGCTTGTGGCGATGAGCGCCTATCCGATAGAGGAGTGGAACAACCGTTTCAAAAATGGCCGCACATCAATGCGCAGAGACACTTCAACAAGGCGAAATGAGAATGTCATTGAGCAAATACCAAATTTCGTCATTAATTGCAGTCTCCTCACAGTTTGAGAACAAGATAGGGGGTAAGCACTGGTTCTGCACACTCAATTTATTATGACGCTGTGTAGCGTGAATGGCCGGATCAGTGGGCTGAAAAAGCTATGCAGCTCCATAATTATAACGCATTCACCCATACTGCATGTGTCACAAAACGGGCGCTAAAAACGGGCGCGCCGCAAAATTCTTGCGATAACGCGCCCAGAGAGACGCGGCGAGGTCAACGAAAAAAAAAAAAAAGAGAAAACAAGCATCCAAGGCTCCCCGGGCGCGCGACGCCTCTCCTCTCGGAAGCGTGGCTTCGCCGATGAACCTCCTCACCCCACAGCGGCGGCCGAGATAGCCCGCGAAAGTTCCAGAACGAAAGGGGCGTGGTCATACCGAGTTGAGTCATCGGCCGCGGAGGGCGTTCCAACCGTCTCGCCCTCTTCCCAGCCTTCGCTGCGTATCGCGCCGACGAAATGACGAGAACCGTCTGGAATGTTGCGCGCAAGGTATTTAACCGAGCAGCCGAGATGAGAGATCAGGAGAAGACGGAAGTTGCGCCAGAGTGCGAAGGGATCCCGCCGTGTAGTCGGCGAAGGTTTGTCCGTAGGGACGAAGCAGGAGATGAAGAGGATTTCCACCTAAGGGGTGAAGGCTCGAGCTACAGGCAAGAGCGTGTGTCTACCGCTATCGAGCGAGGACGCGTGGCAACAGCTGCGTGTGTGAAGCCGACGTGTTCGGGCGAAGAAGTTTGAAGCTTGGAGAGTGGCCTATTGAAGACGGGAGGTTTCCTAGAAGAGAAACTTCGACGAGGTTTCCTGGAAGAGAAACTTCGAGGGCGCGGAACGACAACAACGCTGGACTTTGAGTGAGTGATTCTCGGAAGAGTATCATTCAGACTTTTGTTCCAAGGACTTTGGACTGAATAGGTTTTATATCTCTTTAGTCTTTGAGTGTCTTGGTTGTTCAATGCATGCGACTGCATTGTAGTGCGTATTGGTGTCTGTGTCCGTTGTTTCAAGTGTGGTTGATTGTACTGTGTAGTACGTTGTTTGTTTGGTGACGTATTGTATGTAACTACTGTGGAGTGTGCATTCTTGTGTATTGTTTTTGATCTGCCACTTTTGAGAATATAGTATTTGTTTTGTTTATCAACTCTCGGCTCTGACTTGTTCTTTGGGCCACAGGCGCGCCAAAAAGGACCACTTCTAAATTGTCCACGCTTTCGTGGTGCGGTTCGGAGGGCCAATACTTCGGCCCTTGGAGTTAGCCCGGCGATCGCCTCCCGAATTAACGGGACCGGTGTGACAGCATGTCTTTATCAGGCCTTCTGCACCAATCCCAACTTGCCTATATGTGAGACTCTCTACACCCTCGATATGGCCTTGTGTGATTTAACGATGTAATGTATAATTAATGCCAGAATCACTAATTTAGCTCAATTCTTGGCATCCCTTCAAAAGTACCTGCTCAAAAACCATAATTTGAGCTCACAATGTTCAAATCAGCTAATGGCAATGTCGATGTTCTTAAGGACTTTTTTAGGCAGCCAGAATCACCAAGAGAGCAGCCCGAAAACAGAGCAAGGTAGGAGAGAGACAAAGGCCCCCCAGTCATGCATCAGTCCAGGACAGGCATCGGCAAACTTCGGAGGCAGAGGGCCGCAAGTGGCATGAAGCGGACCTGGCTGGGGCCACATGGCAAAGCCCGAAAATGAGAGGGGGGGGCGGCGAGGAATTTCAGGCAAGAAAAAGATTCAGTAAATGGAAGACTACGTTAAAAACCGACAAACGTTCCTATATTTCCCGGCGAAGGTCCCTTCATGGCCCACTGTATTAACACAATTCTAGGTCACCTCGAATGTACGTCCACCGCCAAAAATCGCACAACAAAAAAAAAAAGGGGGGGGGGGGGGGGGAGCGCAAGCACATTTCAGAAAAAATTCGCGCATATCCATGAGTGAATTCTGATGATAGGGAAAGCCGTTTGCATCGGATCATGAATTTATGCCTTCTATTTTGTTCTGGTTAACAGCCTTTCATTTTGTTTTTATTAACATATTGTTCTGTAATATGCTTTGATTGATGGGTGGTCAAATGTCGGTGTTTTTACCATGTTGTGGCCTTTTATTTTGTTTGTAATGATTAACAGCCTTTTCATAACGTTTTAAAGACGATAGTCTTTCTTGGGATACTTGAACGCAAAAATTTTGTTCTGTCTGTCTGTCCGTTTGACTCTGTGTCAAGCAAAACAACTCAAGTACGACCACATCCACAGCGCCCACCAATAGTACCCAAGCTTCTGCGTTCAAATGTGTGCAATTGTCGATTAAAAAGCTAATATTGTGCATATCTGAGGCACAATGTCAACATGCCAATATTCTGCGGTGTGTTTCTTTATACTAGAAAAGGCATACATAAGTACTACTAAGAACTGTAGCCTTAATTAAGCTGCACTGACAATGCAATGCTATGAAGGAAAAGAAGGGTTTCCTACGCTGAGCTAAAATGATACTGTGCAGCCACCTACTTTGAAATCTACAATATGGCCTCCCAAGTTTTGTTTTCTCAGATTAACGACAGATGGCGCTAATGTCTCAAGCAGCGCCTTTAGAGTCCCATTTACCAATTTTCTTGTGCAAAACATCAAATAAATGCTTTATTCTATTCACTGTGTCCAGACAGGAGACTGTCGTCTTTTAACGACATTTGCAGTCGAACATGCAGATACGGGGCCAATTTTTTCTATTCTGTTTGACCTTCTTATTTTGTTCTTTTAAACTTGTGTTATATGACACAGATGTTTTCACAGATGTCTTCGCACCTGTGCTATGAGCATGCACGCCGCCAGACGCAGGTCAAGGCAAGGTTTTATGGAGCTTTGCAGCTAAAGAAAGGTTATTTATGATGTCTTTGAAACAAAAAAAGTGAAATTCTGGTGTGCCAAGGCAGCTTCATGGCAGTGCTTGGAAACTGTGCAGAAAAGCCAGCTTCCCGAAAATACGCAGATTATTTTTAGAAAATCTTGGACTTTGCAACCAAAACTAGTTTTCGATTCTAGTTCATCTCCCGAACCTCAGATTTCAAATGAAGACGGAATGGACCGACATACAAGCCTGTAAACATGGTAGTATTTCCACGAAGGAGCTGAACCCTTTTATTACATGCACGAAGTGCAGACATTATCTAGCTAAGTATGAAGATTGAGACTAGGAGACGATGCCATCTAAAAGCGGTCTTTCTTTGCTTTTGTTTAAACTTATTTGAGGTCTAAATCGCCATATGAACCTTCAGATAGAAAGTCACATGAAGGGGGAGTTCAGGCATCGTGCAGGAAGCCGCATAATACCATATTTACTTGCATAATGAATTTACCTCGGTCCTTCAAAAAAAAAGTTTTTTAATATATCTGTGCATTTATTTCTGTGCGATAGCCTGAGATGTTCACATTTGAAACAATGTTAAATCACACCATTATATCACAAACTGATGATGCAATAAAAGTAAGAACATAATTTAACAACCATGATAAACAGTCGCAAGCAGGGCGAGCGCAGACGACATCAATCGAAATTTATTATACGCGCCTTTTGCGATACAGCACCATCTGTCAAACGCAAAAGAAACTTTTTGCTTGCTGCGCCATGCAAGCAAAGTGGTGCAAACACAAAGCAAAAAAACAAACAAAATGCAAGCAGACCCACTGAATGAGGTCACTGGCAACATTCACCCGCAACGTGTTTGCTAGCAACACTGCCGGTTAAAACCTAAAAGTTTGTCGAGCATGTGCTGGAGCAGTGGTTCTCAAATGGGGGTCCGGGGACCCTAGGCGTTCCGCGAAGTCATTTCTAAGATCCAAGAAATCCTCAGCCACTTTTTTTTTACATTTTAAGTTTTTTACCTATGCAACTCTGTTATTGATGAACTGTCCGAAATGAAGGAGCACATTTGTTTGATGCTTTTGGTAGCAACAAAAGCCACCTGTTTCATCCTCCAGTTTTGTTAACTTGCCTACGTATCCCCCCTCCCTCTGCTCCAGGGGCTCCCCCATCACTTCCACCAGTCCGCAAGCGGTACCCGACACATCCATGGCCGAGAACCACTGTGCTGGAGCATGGGAACCAAGCGGCTCGATGCCACTTTCAGCGTCGATCTGTGCACATTAGCCTGTAAAGGTGCTATCCGCACAGCCATGCCACACGTGCCGGGACACCTGCGGCACACAAATGAAGGGCCAAAGAGCGTCACCGATATACACTCTTCCGCCCTTCGCTTGTGTGCAGCAGGTGTCCCGGGATGTGCGGTGCAGCTGTATGTAAAGCGTAAGTACAGCTTCGGCCCACATATTGCGGGCCAAAACAAGGACAATTTCCCCTTGTGGAAAGCGAAGATCGCGAATAGAAGCTCCATTTTTCTGCCACTGAATTAAAAACCAGCAGCAATTAGATAGCAAGTTTTTTAATACCGTCAAGCAAAACTCTTGCTGTAATAACTCCCTTGACATTTTTTTCTTTTATGTAATGAACCCTCCCCCTAATTGGTATCAACTTTTCCTTAAAAGAAAAAAAAAGGTGGGTTCATTACAAGAGTAAATACGCTACTGCCCCATGGGCTGCAGGTTGCCGATTCGTGATCTAGGTGGCTTTGCATGCACCCTGCACACTTGTTTATCTGTGACAATGACAATGCTTGCGCAAAGGGAAGCATATCGCAGGAAGGCCAAGCCCCCACTAAGCGTGTTACAGTACTCACGATGTCACAACGAGGCCTTGCCACATCAGCTGAGCCGTCACGCTTACATTAAAAATACATTTAAGGTACATTCACCACATATAGTTCATCGGAGACATATCTGTAGGCTGGAGAATAAAAAAACACAAACATTTCGAGCTTGACGTTTCGGTGTCAGATATCTTATGCAGCAGCTTGACTGCTCGGCTCAGTGGTTTTGAAATGGGGGTCGCGAAGCCAGTTTTATGATCTGCGAAACTCTCACCTGCATTTTTAAGCGCGACTGTGCCATGTATTGATGAACTGTTCAAAATGAAGTGATGTGGCATGTTTGTTTGATGTTTTTCGTAGCAATAAAAGCCACCTGTTTCCCGCTCCAGTTGTGTTAGTTTACCTACCTACACCTTCCCCCTCTTTCAGCTCCGCTGCAAGGGGTTCCCCATAACTTCCACTAGTCCAGAAGGGATCCATGACAAATCCATGGCTGAGAGCCAGTGGCTCAGCTGAATGGTAGAAAAGCAGTCACTTCTGTTAACTCCATGCGACCGCTTCCCTTGCAATCAAGAATAAGCTTGATCAATGAATTTATCTTTTTGAATATATTTTATCAAAGATAAAAGGCTCGCATACAGCATGTATGAATGTGGCACATCGCTAGATTAGATAGTCGATTCCCGAACCCATGTGTTGCCAGCAATGCGAGACTCACCGCTGTCAAGGTGCACCTGCGGAAGCTCCAGACATCAGAGTCCTCCATGGCTGAGAATAGCCCGGCGACTCCCATGCCGATGGCACAGATTGGCTCTGATCAGGAGCAAAAGGGCACAGAGTTAAATACCACGCAATGCCGATGCTTACGCTCTATAGCACAGGCACCCTCCCAACTCAAGCTGCGACCAGTCCTGTCTGAAAGGAAAGATGCCGGGATGTTTCATCCGATCAGGCAAGAAGGAAGGTAATAAAAACATACTTTTACAATTTGCAACCCTCCTTAGCCACACGACATTATCATCCCAATTATTCTGGCACCTACCATAATTCATATGACATATAATTGTTGGAGTTTAACCACATCATTCATACGAAGAAGAAAAGAGTGCCAAGTGCACATTCTAGCACTGCACTCTCTCACAAATTTAGACACAACATCGATTGGCATAGCCAGGAGGGACCTGCTTTGAAAAACTCCCCGAAAAGTGTAATTCTGTATGCACAGAAACAAACAGATAAAAGTTAATTTGACCCTCCTCTCCCCTCATAAAAAAATTTCTGGCTACACCCGTTATCACATCATTTGTTTTGGTATACTGACTGCTATGCGCAATTGCTCATGATTAGTACATCGTGACACTGCAAACATGACCGTTAACAGCAACAACATGACACAGACTGTACAAGCTGAAAATAAATACGCCGAACCGACTTGACCGAAAGCTTGTTCTCTTAACTATTTGAATTACCGTATTTACTCGATTGTAACGCGCCCTCGATTGTAACGCGCACCCGATTTCCACCGCGAAAACAAAAAAAAACGTAAGACATCGATTGCAACGCGCACCCATTTTTTTTTTTGCTGGCCCGCACGATCACACCACTCGAAAAAACGATTCCTTTCGGGATTGTCTTCTATTTAAATATGAGGTACGGGCGAAGCTTGTGCCCATCTGACGTGTAACAGAGCATTGCCGTCACTGTAGTTTTACCGTGGACCGATGTCAGCACGCGAACTTGCTTCGCCCCCTTCCTCTCGACAGTTGTGGTGCCAGGCATGTCGAAGTAAAGAGGCGTCTGATCGGCATTCCCGATTTGCCCAAGCAGGTAGCCGTTGTTGCGCCGCAAGTTTCGTACGAACCTCTGAAAACTGTGAAGCTTTTCATCGTACTCCTCCGCAAAACTTTTCGCATATGCATGTTCCCCTTCGGAGGAAAACGCCTTTCCTCTTCATAAAGTTAGTTAGCCAGCACCTGCTCGCTTTAAACTGGCTCCGCATTAGACCTTTTTCTAAGACTAATTGCATAGCCCGCACTTGGAGCAGTTCTGTCGTCACGGGCCGCTGTGCGACTCGCTGCTCAAGCACATACTCGCCGAGCAGCTCTTTAATTTGCGGAAACCGACCCCGGTGTGGTCCACAGAAGCCTTTGCGTGAAGTTTTGCTGTCGACAATCTTCTGCTTTTGTTTCCGCCGGTCCCGCACGCACGTTTCGGGAACTCCGAACGACCGCGATGCGACCCGATTTCCGTCCGTTTCTGCACACGCGATGACTTTTCTTTTAAAAGCGGCATCGTGGTGCACTCGAGTTTTGGTAGTTGGCCCATTCACGCCGTCGATTCAAATGCACTACTAGATGACGAACTCCTCAGCACACGTACAAAGTGCCGCACATGGGAAACACATAGGCAGAAATGGCCGACGCGCTATGCCGTTTCTCCGTGCCGACGCACGTAGGGGGCGGCCATTTTAGATTTGCCGATGGCAATAGATTGACCGTAATTTTTTTGTTCGTACTCGATTCTAACGCGCATGCGATTTATGAACTCGCTTAACCGGAAAAAAGGTGCGCGTTAGATTCGAGTAATTACGGTACTTAGACCTAAATTTTTACATTTCAATATGTGACGACCATACATCGCCAGGGCCAAGGCCAGAAAACATGCGACCTTTTCAGACACACAAAATGATGAAAAAAAATTGGTAGACCTTTAAGCTTCGCTTTTAAGAGTAGAATGCTATAGCGATATCCTGTCCCTAGTGTGTACAGAGTTTAAAGTGCTTCGTGTCAGTGAAGCTTTTGAATACATCTGCATTCTATGTAATGAATAGCATGCTTTAGACCATTGGGAAGTGTGCACGTAAAACCCTTCAGATTTGCTATGCATTCAATACATGGCCTGAAGAGAAAGGGTGCACTAATGTGTGTGCCTATTGTAGCGGGTGGCTCGCTTTAAACCATAGTCATTATAACTACATAATTTGACATCCCATTGCAGTGTATGCTTGTACTATGCATTATTACTGCCATGTTACAAGTTGCATTGTGATCACTTATACAGGACGTGAGTGTTGGTAAAACATGCAAGTTACTTTCACTGCATTTCCAAGCAGAGGAAGTTATTTTTACTGTACTTCCAAGCAGACACGTGGCTCTTTGATAGAACAACTGCTTACCACGCAAATGACCCGAGTTTCATTCCCTCTCAGACCCAGAATTTTTTATTATTTATTTTATTTGCATCTTTCTCGATGCTTTGGTCATGCACAAAGTCCTAATTTTTCGCCCATAACCAACGACACCGAAATTTCTGCGAAATGGGCTCTTTAGCGCTGTTGCATAAAAAAAAAGGAAAAAGCCTTTGCTTTAGCGGGCTGACAAATTTCCTCACGGAAATGCTAGCTTTGTATAGTTAACCAAACAGCATACAGGCAGGCATAAGTTGATTGGTGCACACCAGCATGCAAGCTGCCACCGCACAAGTGGTTTATTTGCATCGCACGCGTAACGTGGACGTTGTGGGTTCTGCTCCCACTTTCAGCAAGTTGCTTTTCATCCACGTTCGTGTTATACAACCTGAACATTACTACATTTTAATAAGAGATCGTAATTAACATTTCCGTGTTTTCCTTGGCTTCTTTATCTATTGGCTTGATAAGGTCATTAATTAATTTTGATGCGGTAGTGTGAGTAGGATCGTAGTCAGGGAATGTGCTCTACCCCTCCCCCACACTCTCAGAAATTCTGATAGACGGGGGCCATTTTACAAAAAATATTAAAAATGGGTATTATTTCAAAAATGTCAGCACCTTTAGCAAATGATCTATGCTTCCGCCCCTCCAAAAAAAAAAAAAAGAAGTTTCTGTCTACGGGCTTGGGTCTGAGTGCCATCAGCTTTGCTTACACTCAATGAAACGTTGCATAAAGTGCAAAAGTCCCAAATAATCTAATGAAGTTAACACCAGCAATATCACTTTTGTTTTACTGTACATGAAGCATAATCTTTGCTGCGATTGACTCACAGAGCAACAAACTGCGTCTTTTAATGCTTTCCTCTAATAACAACAGCAATGGCAATCATTCCATGTGTTCTCAGAGCTTGACCAAAAAAATTCATCTTTTATAAAATAGTATGAACCGACAGACTCGCCTGCCACATTTATTCTTTAGTTTTTAATTTTAAAAAACTGGCCCTACATTTAGAGACTCATTCGGTCTCTTCAGGGAGTGACTGTCGGGCTCGCGCCACAGCTAGTGCTTTTTTAGCAGTTTCCTTCTCCAAGGTCGTTCTCATTGCCGCATTGTTTTCCCCACTGGTTCCAAAAACCACGTATGTACACGCTTGGCAGGGTCCCCATTGACCGCACAGTGGGATAAACAATACATACAAATGCATAGCCATGTGCGGGGTTCTCCGTAAGGAGTAAGGGGGGGGGGAACACCATCACCAGTGTCCTTCTAATCTTCACAACTCCCACTCAGGTTCTCATAATTGGAACATGGTACACACAAAAGGTATTAAGGGGATTGCCACAGCCCCCCCTGTCCTGCCTCTCCCCGTGCACAAGCCTTTGCACAAATGAATAATTAGAAGAGTTAAGGTGTGTTTGATATTGTGGTATACACAATGGGTTTTGCATATTACCACATCTCTGGATTATAGTAGTAGCATCATCTGAAGCTTTGTTTAACCACAACGATAAAGAAGTCAACCCTTTACAAGCAAAATGATTAGGCTTGTGCGAATAGTGAATTTTAGGTTCGAAGCGAATTTGAAGCGAATTGTGATTTTGATCGAATGGTATTTATGACATAAAAAAAAATATTTATCATGACCTAACTAACCTGCACATTATTTCTTTTTAATTGAAATAGGGGCTCTATGCAAATGCCTTTTTTTTTTTCGTACAAAGGAAGTCGAAACAACCTTGATTAGTAGTTTTGGTAGGATGCGAGTGGTAACCTCTAAGATACTTAACGTCTTAAAATTTATTATACTTGGAGCATGTCAGCCATCATAACAAGCTTAAGAACGTGAAGAATTGATTTGAGAGTAACATATTCCTTTAAAGGGGCCCTGCAACACTTTTTCAAGTAGTCGTGGAGCCAGTAAACCTGCTTGTTGCCTCACAAATTTACTGCTACAAAGTTTCTAGAATCAGTCCAGAACAGGCGAAGTTTCGAAAATTTGACGCACGCTGCAATTGCATCTTCTCTTCTCGTCTAGACAAAATAGCTGGAAGTTAAGCAGAGAATTGATTGATTGATATGTGGAGTTTAACGTCCCAAAACCACCATATGATTATGAGAGACGCCGTAGTGGAGGGCTCTGGGAATTTCGACCACCTGGGGTTCTTTAACGTGCACCCAAATCTGAGCACACGGGCCTACAACATTTCCGCCTCCATCGGAAATGTAGCCGCCGCAGCCGGGATTTGAACCCGCGACCTGCGGGTCAGTAGCCGAGTACCTCAGCCACTAGACCACCACGGCGGGGCAGTTAAGCAGAGAAGAACGGCACGGTGAAAGGAAATACGTCACACACACCTCGTGACCTTGAGCACATCTTCTTTTTTTTCTTCGAATATGCGACTTTTCAGTGCAATCACACATGTACTCGTGGACAAGTGGCGGCCTCGGTAACGACGAGCGCGCCATGCTTAAATCAGTCAATGGCTGTAACTAGAAAGAAAGCCGAGAGAAGAAAGCAATTTTCAGCTTTGAAAATTTATTGTGAATTACAGGCCACATGCTCTGCTATAATATTTGCCTCGCGTGTTCACAGTAGCCTTGACTACCGATGGGCAGCGTTTTCTGACCATGTTCAGTAAGGGCCCTTTCAAATTTGAAGGAAGGCTTCGCGGCAAAGCAAACTTTCCCTGAATAAGTGCTTTCACGGCCTTGCTTTCCTATATTGCAGTGAAACCACCTTTACAAGCGGTAACATGCGGATTAATATACGTCACACGTACCTACTCATTCTTCAAGAGTCCGACGGAATCCCGTCTGGTCGAGGACAAACATTGTGAACAAGGCTCCCGTGTGGGGAGCCGAAACGTCTTTTTAATTTTTGAGTACTTCACCTTGGTCAGCGTTTTTGTTACTTTGCACCTATTCATTGCAAGTACTTCGAAAATATTCTATAATTTAAATTCGAATCGAAGCAAATTCGAGTATTCAACTATTCGTTCGAATATTCACACATGCCTAGAAATTATGCACTTTTCAGCAGTGGAGTATAATATACTTGGTAACTACAATGATAGTTCTCTTGGCGCTTTGATCACTGTTGGGTGGCCAGGTAACATCCGACAACTCATATTCATGGTGAGGTCCTATTTTACAGAGATGCCACTCTAACACTGGCCCAAGTGGACTCTGCTGCTATATTATGAAAACCTCAGAAATTCAAGTTGAAATGACGGTGTGTGGGAATTGAGGGTAGCCTGCCGCCATTGTGCGGGCTTTCCATGTGTGCCCTGCGGCTTGCTAAGACCGGACCCACGCTAGTGGCCGTACTCCTTCGGGATATGTGTACACTACAAGTGGAAAGGAAGGAACTCACTTTTCTCCTGTATGAAGTGCCTGAGGATCTGACAGAGGTCTTTGTTCTCGCAGAGGTCATGGACTGCTCCTGGACTGTGCGGCAAAATCAGGCACGAGTACCGATTGGCTGCACAGAGACAGGCACTCGTTTAGTCGCTCATTAGAAATATAAGAAAGAAATCATCGAGCAACCAGGCTTTGCAATAAAGTTTCATCCAGGAATAAAAACCACTGCATAAACAGCAACAAAATACATGGGCAGTGAAGAAAGACACGTTACACTCTACCAGACCAGAGAGCTCAGGAGCGCATCGAGCCACTCATCTTAGGTAGGGGGGGGGGGGGAATGTTGGCGGAGTGACAATACCGGAGAAGGGGAGGGAGTCTAGACTTTTTGTTTTGTAGCATAAGACCTCTATTATACCTTAAACATTGTTAATGTCTGATCACAGTGGTGCCACTCATTGTCCTAATAAGTGATAGGAGGTGAACAACAAGTATCGAATAGAGGGGGAGGAAGCAATGACAACCTTTGGAAGGGGGGGGCATTTTTCTTTTATAACATTTGGTATATACTATTCAATTTCGATTCGAAATCGTTCTATAAAAAATCACTACTCACTTCAAACCTTAAGTTCACCACTCACACAAGCATAATGTTCACCCAAAGAGTGGACAAGCCTGTGCACCATATTCAACCTGTAAACAGTTCGCACATGGTGCCCCTTAATATTGCTTCTACCTCAGCAATAGCAGTTCTATTTTTTTCCTTTCTTGATGCAACCGTAAAGCAGTAGTGGGCTCAACGATGCTCTCACATTTTTCCTTGACAAAGGACCACTTGCAATGAGAACACTCTCACAACAAGTACAGTTGCACTCAATATGAGACGCAATACGCTGTCTGTATTCAAAATGGCACCAACATTGTAAAGTCACATTTACATAGAAAAAACTTTTTATATCAGCGGTATCTTTTAAACTAATTTAACTGTTGTCAGTATTATTGTTCAGGCTCGATTCAACAGCAGCTAGCATGTTGCAACTCGCATTGCGTGCCACTCTACATTATGAGTCACTTAAAAGATAAAGAAGTACTGTCCCAAAAGTTTTGCTTTTCCTTGTGTTGCTATAGTAGTTAGCTAAGACAGAGCTGGAAGCTTCATTTGCTAAGCGGCATGACAGATTATAACTGAAGATGCCTTCACAGTGGCCAGTTGCAGTTTCGGTTTGGGAAAGCACCCAGAAATTCAAGTTGAAATGACGGTGTGTGGGAATTGAGGGTAGCCTGCCGCCATTGTGCGGGCTTTCCATGTGTGCCCTGCGGCTTGCTAAGACCGGACCCACGCTAGTGGCCGTACTCCTTCGGGATATGTGTACACTACAAGTGGAAGGAAGGAACTCACTTTTCTCCTGTATGAAGTGCTGAGGATCTGACAGAGGTCTTTGTTCTCGCAGAGGTCATGGACTGCTCCTGGACTGTGCGGCAAAATCAGGCACGAGTACCGATTGGCTGCACAGAGACAGGCACTCGTTTAGTCGCTCATTAGAAATATAAGAAAGAAATCATCGAGCAACCAGGCTTTGCAGTAAAGTTTCATCCAGGAATAAAACTACTGCATAAACAGCAACAAAATACACGGGCAGTGAAGAAAGACACGTTACACTCTACCAGACCAGAGAGCTCAGGAGCGCATCGAGCCACTCATCTTAGGTAGGGGGGGGGGGGGAATGTTGGCGGAGTGACAATACCGGAGAAGGGGAGGGAGTCTAGACTTTTTTGTTTTTGTAGCATAAGACCTCTATTATACCTTAAACATTGTTAATGTCTGATCACAGTGGTGCCACTCATTTGTCCTAATAAGTGATAGGAGGTGAACAACAAGTATCGAATAGAGGGGGAGGAAGCAATGACAACCTTTGGAAGGGGGGGCATTTTTCTTTTATAACATTTGGTATATACTATTCAATTTCGATTCGAAATCGTTCTATAAAAATCACTACTCACTTCAAACCTTAAGTTCACCACTCACACAAGCATAATGTTCACCCAAAGAGTGGACAAGCCTGTGCACCATATTCAAACCTGTAAACATTCGCACATGGTGCCCCTTAATATTGCTTCTACCTCAGCAATAGCAGTTCTATTTTTTTCCTTTCTTGATGCAACCGTAAAGCAGTAGTGGGCTCAACGATGCTCTCACATTTTTTCCTTGACAAAGGACCACTTGCAATGAGAACACTCTCACAACAAGTACAGTTGCACTCTATATGAGACGCAATACGCTGTCTATATTCAAAATGGCACCAACATTGCAAAGTCACATTTACATAGAAAAAACTTTCTATATCAGCGGTATCTTTTAAACTAATTTACCTGTTGTCAGTATTATTGTTCAGGCTCAATTTAACAGCAGCTAGCATGTTGCAACTCGTATTGCGTGCAACTCTACATCAGGAGTCACTTAAGAGATAAGAAGTACTGTCCCAAAAGTTTTGCTTTTCCTTGTGTTGCTATAGTAGTTAGCTAAGACAGTGCTGGAAGCTTCATTTGCTAAGCGGCATGACAGTTTATAACTGAAGATGCCTTCACAGTTGCCAGTTGCAGTTTCGGTTTGGAAAAGCACTCAGAAAGGCAGTGCCAGGGAGGTTTTGTTATGAACACTGCTCGCCACGCAACCACACGAAGCGGTGCCCCACCTGAGCACCCGTGCTGCTAAGTATCGCGAAGAGCACATGCACGGAGTATCGTAGCCAACACAAATATACTGATCATGTAGGTTGTTGCATTTTCTTTAAATGCAAGTTAGTGATATTACTCTGAAGTGCTCCATTTTGCACTCAGTTGCGGGGCATACGCAAGAGCAAGTATACGTTAAAATTATTGAAAATCTCAACTTCTTGTAGTTTCATTCCATGTGAAAACTTTAATGTAGCTCAGCTGCAAAAGAACACAAAAGGACCGTGTCACTAAAACACGGAAGTGAAAAACTGGTCTTTAGAATCCTTGATATAACCGATTTTTCCACCTGTAGATTGTCTCAATGTTGTAAAAAGTGTATCTGTAACACTTCTTAGAAGTGGAGTGATAATTAACACAAAGAATTATTGTCTTTTTTCGCTCATGTTTCAGTTTGTGGTAACGAATGAAAAGCTACCTCCCCACACACACACTGCATTGACACAGAGCCATTCACACTAGAACAGTCCCAGGGTGTCATTGTGGGAACTCCCACTTGTGTTTATTTCAATATTCTAGCACGCACTAAAGCTTACTCCACAGTGAATAAGCCCTTAAAGATTACCCTCGCGCATCTCTATGCATATTTGCCGGTTAAAGTAACCCTGCAACACCTTTTCAAGTAGCCATGAAACAGATTCAGTAAAGGAGCTTATCGCCTCAAGAATTCACCGTCATTGAGATTTCTTTAGAACCCGTCCAATTGAAGTGGAGTTACAAAGATTTGTTGCACGTGGCCATTGGATTATTTCTTCTCTCGTCCCAATGAATGCACTGGAAGCTAAGCAAGGAGAGATGGCACAGGGGAAAAAAATACGTCACATGTGTCCCGTTACCTTGAGCACTTTCTCTCTCTCCCTCTCTTTTTTTTCTTTGAAGGCGCGGTTTTGGAGTGTGATTGTGCTCCCATGTGTGGACAAGTTGTGGCCTGCTGCCGTGGCCACAGTAATGACCAAGTGCACCAGGCTCAAGTCAGCCAATGGCTGTGATGGAGTGATTTTTTATCGTGTAGCGTCATTTGTCAAGAAACAAGAAAGTGGTTTCTAGCTGTCTCTCAAAATTAATTGTAAATTCCAGGCAGCAGGCTGTGGCGCGTGTTCTGAATAGCCTGGAATACCAATTGGCAGTGTTTTCCCAACTGTGCTCAACAAGTGTTGCAGAGCCCCTTTGATTGCAAACAAGAGAAGTGAAAATGCAGAGTGTCTCTGGATGCTTACGGTCCACAGTGTGAAGTCCAATAGGGATTGCAAACACTTTCATGCGAAAGTCATTCAGCCAACGTCGACTTTGATCATCCTGGTTGACAAACTCCAAGGGACGCCCCTGCGAAAAACGCAAGAGCGGTTGTTTTCGTACCACTTGACTTTGTTGCTGCTCTATCACAGGCACACAAATATAATGCATAGAGCAAAAAACTCTTGTGAACCGATTTCTAGTTCTAGATATCGTGCACTGCAGATTTTCGTCACTCAGCAACAATATGCAGGAAACTGTCCATCACCATCGATTACATGCGATTAACAGTTGTTAAAGATTTTGCAAATTGTTCTAACCCAATTACTACAATATTGCACATTACTGTCCCCTTTAATGGAGCCTGACATCAAATTTACTCATGTCAAGATTTTTGAGTCAATGAGTAGCTATCGACCACCTAGTCGCAATTCACGACCTATAACGCACCTTAGGAACGAATAACAATCAAATCACTTTTAATGATTTATATCACTGGTATCTAGCACGACTCGAAACGGCCGGCAAGCCCGCCATTTTCATCGCTGGGAGCGCTTCAATGCGGTCACCTCCAGTTCGCGCCACAGCTGACCACATCTCCACAGAAAATAGTGACGTAGGCTCAGCTGCTCCTCAAACATTTCATCAGCTATGCGCACACATTCAGTCATGCCTTCTCACTCCCATTGCCGTCGTCACCGTACAAAGAGTTGACTAGGGTGAAATACAACAATCTCGAGCTAGGAACCGTCGCGATTTATCGCATTTGCTTCGATCGACCCTTTGCAGGACAGCGATTCCAAAATAGACACTGTTCCAAGCAGTAATGAGAAGGTACCCAAGAATGCATGCTTCGGCGACGCTCACTCGTGCATCTAAAATTAGCTATATTCGTATGTTTTGGCGTTAATGGAATAACGGTATAAAGGAAGCACACTAGCAGAGAAATAGAATACGTTGCTTGTTGCCAGGTTCTTCTTTGCGCCTCCAGATGGCCCCACCAATCCGGCCTTTCAAGGTGGTGGCGGCAGTAACCCGGTATTACAAAGAAGTATACGGATGAACTAAAATTCGCTATTAACTAACGATACCTGCTGCTGTTATTTGTTAGCGATTATATCTGTCTATACACTACTACACTTAGATAGCTTGTGGTCTTGTTGGTGTGTAACATACGTGTTCTGAAAAGACACCTTATTGCGCTTTTTCCGTGCTTCAAACCAGACGACTGCAACTCACAACGGTTCCCCCGACGTCCTGACTGACGAGCACTTGATTCATGCTCTTTTGTTTCACCGATCTTTCATGGGCAGTTTCCATCTTGGTAATTTTACTAAATCATTTCAAAGCGGTGGGAGGAAGTCAGACATGATGAGTGAGCGCGTTTCCAGGCTTCGGTGCCAAAATAAGAACACTCGGATCGTAGACGCCATGGCTACTAGCACATCGTCACTTAGAATGGTATGTGTGAAGTGTATCACCGAACACGTAGCATTAGAGTCAATGTCGCAGGGCACTCCATTTTCTGTTCAGCTCTCGTACGCTAGTTGTCGTCGAAGTAAAATAACTTCCACGCGGCAAAAACTATTTAATTTCGGCCAAGAGGACCTGCACATAGAGTGCAGTCGAATGAAAGGTACATCTTGATTCTGGAATTCGATGTCAGTGCTCCTCTAAAGCAACTCTAAAGAGAATAGTGACTTGGTTTAGATTGACAAACTGCACTCTGAGAACTCTAATGTAATAATAAGTTTCACTGGCATAATTTCATAATGAACGGAGAAAATCAAGGTTGAAGTTTCAATTTTGAATTTCACACCTGAATCTCCGCTCATGAAATAACGAATTTCAGAATGTTTTTTTCACATTTTGCAATATTGCCTTGATGAAACTTTCCGGAACTCCTCATGCTAGGTCTATGGCACCCACAGATGACAATGTACTTCATTTTTATCTAGGAGAGGCAATGCAGGACCCGGTAGACTCGTCCAAAATGTACTACATCACAATGTTTGGCGCAGGAATCTCACAGTGGCATCTCCCCCCGCATTGTCTCTTTTCACATTTTCTCGCTCATTAAGATTCATGCCACAGTAAAAATGCCGTTTTCGGGATTGTGAACTTGTACTTTACTAATGTGCGAAAAATCGTTTTGCTCTTTAGTGTCCTTTTAATGACAAAAGCCTCGGCAGGAAAACTAAGGGTAGCGCATTTAAGCCCTTACACAAGTGGTATAACAAGTGTTGATAAACATTTTCGGACGTATCTGAAGCCTGCCTGAAGTTATGAACATAGCGGCAAGCCTCCCTTGTCCTGCCAGGGGAGCTGTGTGCGTGAGCTGCCGTGACAGCTGTGATGTGAAGGAGCCACAGAACCACACGGCCATTCCATTTGCACCAACAGTAGCAAAAAAAATCAGGAAAAGAAAGTTGCATGCAGAAGAGCACTGCACATGGGACTATAGAGAAGGAAACATAAGCACATATTATGGAGAAAGCAACAGAAAACGATGAAACTAAAATTACATATTTCAAACATTCAATCGGTCACAGTCAGCGTTAAAATGAAAAATTTAATAAACTTGCAAAGGACTGGGCACAATACAATGAGACAAGTGCTCAATTCATGCACCAAGCATACAAGTCATTTTGCCGCACAAACAATCAAGAGACCGTACTTGGAATCACAAGCACACTGAAAGTCTGCACTAATATCAACACCGTTCGACCTCAATTGTGAACAGGCAAAGCAAAGAAGCAGCTTTCATGAATAGAAAAAAAGAAAAAAGGTTATTGCAACATGTTACTACATAAATAATAAAGCAAATGGACGTGACTTCCTTTTGTAGACACAACACAGAGGTTTCTCACAGCAAGAAGCATTGCAGGTAGTTCAAAACAATTGCAGACTGCAATTTTGAGGCTGGTCACGTGCAAGGCTTCCGTGCTGTACAGCGATGTAATGAAAGTAGTAATAATATTCCGGTAAAGGCTGTGGAGTTGCAAAGAAGACTTCTAAGCACCCGCTACTTCAAGTAACGAAACATCGCTTCAGTCAAACTTGTGCGCAACAACATGAACAGCATCAAACATCTATTTCAGTCATACTGCGACCTCTCTAATAAGCTGAAAAATTGCCACATTAAAACACACAATGGACAACAAAATAAAGCATGACAATTATGCTAAAACAATGTTCATTTTGTCATTTACTGTAGGCATACATGCTATTTGAATTTTTTTTCGCAGACATCCAGAATAGACACTAAGCTTATGGAAAAGTCACACAAAAAGTGAACTCACGTAGGTAATAGAACAGCACTACGAGAGGGAAAAAAACTTGCTTGTAAATGTGAAGTGAAAGTACCCTATTGTGCACAGACGAAAATCAACTGTTTTGCGTAGCAATGTTGAAAGGACAGACCCTTATTATTTTCATTTAACCTTAAGATTTGGGTGCCATTGCGCTGCATACGTAGTGCAGTAAACAAAAACAGCTGAAGCGCGACTTTTCAGGTCGCGTATAAATCGGCGTGCCATTATCTACTATAACTCACCCCTGGCGTGGCTATTTGGACCGTGAAAGTGCTGTGCAGTAGCGTAAACGTCTGTATAAACGAAGGGGCCGAGTTTCCTGCAAAACAAAACAAAGGTGCATGAGTTTCAGAGACGGTCAAACTAACTGTCAACAACGGCGCGGCATGCAAGCACTTCCGTGCGCGCGATCAGACACTTCGAGAGACTGCGCATGTTTGTAGAGACATGTGACAGTGTCACTCGCTTCACTCGATTATTTGGCGTGCGTATAACGCAGGAGAAGCCTCGCGTGCGAAAAGGCAAGCCGCCGCGCAGTTTATCCCGCGCGCATCGGAAGCTGGAAATGGGACGACGGGATTGCGAGTTCAAGCGGAGTTCATTTCGAAACGCCAAAAGTTCGGAGCAGCGGCGGCGAGCAGTCGTAGTGAGCTGGGCACGGCGAAAATCGGAGGAAACGCCTCGGACAGCGTCTCTACGCAAAGCGACATCGGTTGTCCTGGGGAAGCGAAGGTGAACGGCGAGAATTCGTCTGCGCTTTTAGGCCTAGGCAGGAGAGGAAGCACACTCCCCCCTTCATCAGAACCAGACACCCCACGACCTCAAGTAGGCCGCTTCCAGAAGTACGCCCAGATGGCGGCAATCCCGCTACTCACCGTCCTTAGAGCCGCTCAAGACGATGAGGCAGCTTAAGCGAGGTGCCGTGGACATGACGCAGCTAGGGTCACAGCATTTCTTACAACATGAAACATGCGCGCCGCAAAAAAACCGCAAAGCGCGGCCTCCCTTGGCGGGGTTCAATGCACTCACAGGGTTGACGGCAGAGCCAACGGCGGCGTGGCGGGCGCTAAACGTAACCGCTATCGAAAACGAAGCAAATCACAGTGGGACAAAAACCGAGAAAAAAAAAAAAAACTCGCGAAAGCTCTCGTCGGCGTGGATATCGCGCGGCTTCAGTTATGATTTTTTCTTACCCCTAGAAAAAGCAAAAGGCCCATGTGTGTACGCGTGGGACTGATCACATGTGGCCTAATGAATATGTCACGTTTATTATTTGCAAGCGTAGAACACTGCAGTTCTTGGACGATGCGGCGTGCGCACTATATTGCCCGCTGCGCAGAAAATCAGTTTAAAAAAAAAAAAGAATGTGTGTCACGATCGAAGGCTATTTTTCGTCCCTTGACTCATCGCAAATTGGTGAAGCGTTGTTCACGGACGAGCGTCTTTTCGAGAACGAGCGTGAGTTATTGCGCGATGACGTGTAGGCGCAAAATCATAATCGACCATGACTGACATTCTTACCGCTACGTTTATTCGAGGCTGATTCATTCTAGTTGCCGCAGTTAAAAGAGCGCGCGCTATTTCACGCCGGCATGCAACGTGACACCTTCTCTACCCCCACCACGTTGATTGGTTACGTGGGCGGCCGGTATTTTTCCACTCGTGTAAAAGGGGCTAGTTACGAAACGGAAGCGGCGCGACCGACTCCCCAGCCGCCGCGGAATCTAAAGAAAGCATGAGAGAAAAGCTTGCGGACAGATGAAAGAGGAAAAGGTGTCGTAGCCTAGCGAAGTGCTCGCCGGTGACGAGGCAAAAGGGAATCGACCACGTGACGTTTGAGACACGGCAGCGGGAACATCTCACCCTCCCAAGAGCTGCGGAAGGGAGGGAGAAGACAAGCGCAGCAGCTAAAAAAGTTTCGCAAGCAACAGGAACCGGCAGATGTTCCGCGCTTGTCCTGCCTGTTCCGCAAGAAACGCGCGCGCGGCGTGCGACTAGAGCGAAAGGATATGAAAGTTCGACGGGAAAGCGAGCGACAGAGAGAAGCACGGAGAAAAGTTGGAAAGAGCGCTAGCGTTACGAGAGAAGACAAGCAGGCAACGAGAAGAGAGAAAGGAATTGAAGAAAGGAGGAATACGTTTCAAGAAACCAGCACGATGTGAGAAGGAATCAGGTGAGAGAGATGAGGGAACAGCGACGAAAGAAAAAAAAGATAAATTCCCTGTCCCCAAGGGCATCGGTGAAGAGGCCCGTAGCGAAGCGTCTGTCGGGTGAAAGACGAGGGAGAGAGAAAACAGGAGCGAGCGCGTTCCGCATCCCGTCCCGCTTTCACTCTCTTCTTTTTGCTCTTCTACAAACCTCGCCACCGGGTCTCGCCGCTTGCAATTCATAGCGCAGAGTTTGGCGCGAAGCCTTCCGAGCCCCGATTGGACGGTCGAGCTTACCGGCTCGTCGCTCATTGGTGTCTATTGACCACGTGGGCCAAGGTATAAAACCATTGTCCCGCCATTTTGTGAAACATTCTAGTGTCTACGCTGTGGTGTGTGCGCGTGTGCAGCTCCGTCGCGTTGGTTTGAGTGTGCTCCGTTTTCTTCATATTTATTCCGCATCTTCAACCAGAAAATGCCAGCTACACGTTCAAGGCCCAGGTAAGTTCACTCTGAACTGACTTTCGTTGAATTTGACGCGTAATTGTCATGATTTTGCGAGAGAAGCAGAGTCTGTCGTGCAACCGGCGCGGCCAAGAGCTAGGCCTAATGCCGGGACAAAGTGCTTTGTCAGTTTCAACTCGGCAAACTTATTCCCGGTGGTTCGGATAAGTTAAAGCAACTGTTAGCGTAGATACGCGGGGCGCGGCAGTATATCCGCAATGTTGCGTTAGCGCTGGCTTCGCCTGACCCACTTATTTTGTCTTGCGGCCGGCACGGCCGAGTGGTGAAGGCGAGGGGGCCGCAGAATCCGCGGAGCAACTTTGCCGGCTTCCTTTTGCGACCGATGCAGTAAAGCTTGCCGGCGTGTTCGTGACGCCGACCGGTAAAGGTGGAGTCGCGAAACCCAGCGCAGCTCTCTCGGAGCGTCGTTCGAAGCTCGCACCAGGTAACGACCTGGTGCGCGCCACTGAGCGCGCGCACCGGTTTAGCGGCGCGACGACAGCGGCTGCTGCTGCAAACGGCGCCCCATTGTTTTCTGCCTCTGACGTCCGTGGAGAGAGCCGCTTGCGACGCATGTGTTCCCGGCGGACAGGTTTTGGTCTGGCCTTTTCGTGCGACAGCTGCCCGCTGTGCCGTTTCGTGACGGGGCATTTGAACGGAGCCCGGCAGACCTGTAACGCGCGCAATCGCTAAGCCTCGCCGCCGGCCGGCGTTCCGGGCAACTACCGCCGCCGCGTTTTGGCGCCAAGTCGAACACCGGGGCTCGCTTCTGTTTTGTATGTTAATTCATTTCCTCTGTTGCCGCGGCCTTCGCTCTCGTTCTCTTCTGCCATTTTGAAAAGGCGTGCGGGAGCGCGCTTTTGAGGGTGAGGATATTCGGGGGGGGAGCGTCGTCAAAGAATCAGTCGCGGAAGTAACGTGCTTGGTCGGAAGCGCCGTTTTCGGAGGGCCATATTGGTCTGCTGCAGCTACCGCACTATACGTATGACGCTCAACACGTGCAGGCAAGGGATGCCAGAATGCGAGGGCTCTGGTGCGCGTCTGGCTTTTTTTTTTTTTTTTGCGCACGGCGTGGCCGCTAGCCGTCGGTCCGGCGTAACTTATGCGTCTGGCCTTGATGCCGCCGTCGCGAGCTGCACGTTGCGTCGTGTAGCCGGGATCGTGTGACGTCTCGCTGCCGTTAGGATTATTTGCTCTCGTCTGTGGTTGTGGGAACGTCTGGCCGATTTCCCGTCGCGCCGAGACGGTTTCTCGTTGCGCGTCGGCCAGGTAACTTCATCTCGCCGGAAACCTCGCGCCGGCACGTATTTCGTGCTCTCGGCGTGCTCTATACGTAGTGTTGGGGCGGGTATTGTCAATGCTTCCTTTTTTTTTTTCAGCACCGAGCAGGCTGAGGTTGTTTCTGAGGAGGTGAAGGACGTTGAGGCGTCCCCGGTGAAAGAAAAGGTGGCAGAGACGAAAACGGTAAATATAATTTGACATTGCTGCTCTCTTCGAGAGGGGTGCGTATGATAGAAGAAAAACGTGTTTGACCACGTGGATATATGTTATCAAGTTTTGAGTTAATCAATGTGCCGCAGGTACTATTACAATAGTACTTATCATATTTGCCAACACCCCCCAAAATTAGATCATGAGTTGGACATGCGGACGAAGGTTTTGAAGTATCTGTAACACTGCCCTTATATTCCAGGAGGAGGCTAAGCCTGCGGCTGAAGAGAAGGCTGGCGGTGCAGAAGAGACCAAGGAGGAAGCCGAGAAGACTGCTGAAGAGGCACCCAAAGCAAATGGAGGTGTGTGTGTGCACACAATTACACGTTAGACAAACCTGCTTCTAGTGCGAATTACAGCCAGTGCATAATATTCTTGTGGCAAGCTGCAGCCTACTTATTAGAAAAGTCTAGAAAGTGGCGTGTTTTTTCACCGTCAAAAAAAAAATAAATAAGCGTGGTCTTACGTGTTAATAGCTTACTATGACAAAGCGGTGCAAGTTTGTGAGGATTTGTGATGAAAGGCATGGAATATACGAACAGCACAACCTAGAAGTAGTTGCACTATAACTACTTCTATGTATATTCAGTTATGTCCTACCAACTTGCCCAAGTTTTCGCACTTCATAGCAGGTATAAAGCCATGACAACGTGGACAGAGTTCGTGTTTTAGCTGCCCTTTCAAAATGTCATTCCTCTCAACCTATTGCTCAAAATCCGCACCCAGCACTATTCGTGTGGGCAGTCTCGGAGGGGGGGGGGGGGGGGGGGGTGCTACGTTGATTTAAACCATGGGTTTTTGTTAGCTTGACATCTATATAACTGTGTGCGCCCTTCTGCGTTACAGAAGCTGCTGCTGCTGTCGCTGATGACTCCAACAAGGAGTCGGACTCTGCACCCACCGAGAAGGCCGAGAAGCACAAACTCGAGGACGAGGTCAGCGGCACTCCTGAAAAGAAGGCCAAGGTAGAAGAGAGCAAGGAGGAAGAGGCCGCCAAAGAAGCAGCACCTACAGAGGAGGCTGCGGCGTGAGGTGCACAACTTGGTCGAGCATCCGAGCAGCTGCCACTATCCACCGCACACGCAAGGACGGAAAAGAGGAAACAAGAAAAGACAAGCTCCGCACTCCTTCATCCCAACACCACCATCTCCTGTTCTCCACCATATGTACGAGGGGACCAAGAAGTTCCCCGAAGACTACTACTATGCTGCCACCACCATACTATCCCTGCTTTAACTTATGTTGGGACTGATGTACAAAGGCATCCCCCTGCATTGTGTATTCCCTGCCCTCAGCCAGTGGTTTTTTCTAGATGTTTTCTTCACGCATCCTTGTGCTGTTGAAAATTTGTTTTCAGTTTAAGTTCTTTTTTCTTTCGGCATACACACCACATACCATCATTTGTTGTGATGAACTTAATAATATAGATGGTTGTACAGTTTCAGGTTTAACAGAATAAATTCTCTTCTCATCGTCACCAATTCTTCCCTGTGCTGCTTTCGGGAAGTGTGAATGTGTTGTTGAACGATGTGTGTGACTGGTGCGTGCATTTCGGTGCAAGTGTCCCGTTTTGTGTGGCAAAGGTGGTTGTGCTGTGTATACCTTTCTTCTGGGGAGGTATTGCATACCGACATGACCTTGCGGAATGACTTGTGTAATTATTGTGTGGTTCTTGTTTAGATGTGCACACAAGTTGTGCCTGTGGTCTGATCAAGCAGAAACTCCCACATTTATCCACTGCAAGTTTTTAAATGTAATTGGTCAATGAAGTGGCATGGGAGCTGCAAGTGTTGGATTGGTTAAAGTGGCACATCGGCATACATTTACCATAACACAGGAGTACTGTAGAATACTTGTGCCCTGGAGAACGTATATCAGTTTGAACTTTGAAATCATCACTGCCTAAAACTTGTATTTCCATGGTAACCCTGATAAGTTTTACAGAATTGTCCAACCACTGAAGTTTTGCTGTTGGTTTAAAAATTTTGTCATTGCATGCAATGCATTGACTTGAATACTGGAACCTTTTGCATATGACAAGCACTTGAAATACATCACTTATGCATACAACTTGGTGGTTTCAAGTTTCTTTGAACTGGCCAGGAGTTTGACATTTCATGCAGTGATGACATTTGAGATAGTTCAGAGTAAGCCCACAAAACTTACTTTTCAAGCTTCAGAAACTTGGCTGTTGCAATACCTGCTGTGTGTTCCTTGCAGGCAGTAGGCTCTACTATTTTACTGCTGTTTTCATTCTTGAAGGGATTTTCATTCTCCAGTGCTTTAACTGCATACTTACCAAAATGAATCTGAAGTTATCACTCAGCAGTTTGCAGATTTTATCCTGCACAGTAATGGTTGATGTCAGTGTGCAAGCCTGAAAATTGGATACACAGAGGACCACTAATGCCTTGTGTCAATCTTTTCCATTAAGTTACATAATCTGGGGAGATTTTTGTTTGCTTACTCTTGTCTTGTCTTGCAAAAGATCTAGCTGTACTCTAATGCAGTCAGGTAGTCATTCTTGGCTTCACGATTGCCTTTGCTAAAAGCAAAACTGTTTCCATTGCATTCTTAATGGTGTGCCTTTGAGCACATGCAGAGATTGAACTAGCAATCGGCTTGCAGTGGTCAGCTCCATGAACATAAATCATTGATTGAGACAAGAAATCAAAGCTTTTAGTATAGAGATTGCTGAAGATAATAGCTTCATGTGTCTTCCAATCGGGTCACTAGCTAATGTCACCAATGCAAGTGCTTGAGCAGAAATTGTGACATACCAATTGCGAAGCTCGAAACTGCATTACTTTGCCCTAAAATGACACGTCTGTGCGATACAAACTTCAGAAATTTGTGGCGTTAGCCACTCGCAAGCGGATGCACAGAATTTTGCTTCGATGGGTGCAGCCTGCCGTAATGAGTTGGGCGGCCTTTGTTAAACATTGCTCAAGTGCACGAGTGAAACTACAGTAGACTTTCAGTAAACAGAACCTGAAGGGACTGGGAAAATATGTCCCATTTAATAGGAGTTCTGTCTAATAGGACTTCAAAAATTTTGGAATTTGAGCTTACGTGCAGCTCAGTGGGATGTTCATTCCAGGTCTTCCACTTGCATACTAGTGCTGGCTACAGTGCATGTATCTTGCACATCCACCGAATGCACTGCTGTTGTGGAAACGTCCACTGCAACACTGGTGAAACCGCAGTGGCATCAGCCTGCCACAGTTGCATTATTGAGTCCCTGCACCAGGAAACCACCGATTTCGCTGTTCGTTTGGCACAAGTGGAATGTGTTGCCATCAGTATAGTCCTGCAAGGCAGCCCTCAAGCATTGCTCATTGTTGTAACAGTGTAACTAGGAAAGTAATTAGCCAACTCCTTATTGCATTTAACTGTTGCAGCTCAAATCATTAGTCTTGTGATGACATCCAATGCTCCAAAAGTATGCATAAAATTGAATAGCGCAGTTATACCCTTTCGTGTGGAGCAATTAAAGGTAATTTGAACAGTGCACAGTTCAAGAGTACGCTGTGCGTTAGGGCATGTCAATATATGAAACTAAGGCCAAGTGCAGTGCATTATTAATAAATTAACTGACTTTTGAAAGGAGATGAAAGCACTTCTTTACATGTGGGCAGTGAAGGGGTTGCTAAGCCGTGAAACACCCAACCAAAAAAAAATCTGCACTGCCGCAAAGCCCCACATCAAGGTTAATTAAACATGTTGCCCTCATATCGATTCATCATTAAAATCTCGTTATACTGGCTCACATGCTCTAATTATGGTAAATTTCAAAATTCAAGATATTTTACTTGCACTCTATCGTCACATCCTTTGAACTGAACAGAATAGCATTTTCACAGGCCTCGTTTCAATCAATGTATATATTGTGCAGGTTAGTTGGGTCGTGACAAATATGACCATATTTTAGTAATATGTGACATACATAATATATTCGAATTGAATTTATTAAATCAAAATCGCTGTTTGCTTCTATACCAACATTTACAATTCGAACAAGCCTACAAAATATCTGATTATTGCTGCCATTATACCACATCAAAAACATGGCAAACAATCTCTGAAGTTTGAGGTCTAGAGTACACAATAGATGTTAATATTAATAGCTCAACAGATAATGGAGACATCAATGCAGACCTTGTGCCTCTGTTTTGTAATAGGTGTGCGCATTTAAGTCTAGAATAATTTTAAATCAACCAGCCCACCTTTCCATTTTACATTTAACACTTACATGCGATTGATCTTTGTGGGAAATGTCGCCTTTTTATATGCTCTGCCGAACATTTACACCTATAGAGGCTTCTTTTTTCTTCACCACAATCATCACTTACCTCGTGTGCCATTCCTCATTTTAAAGTTTTGAAAATGTCCACGATAAATACAGTTGCATGGAATGCCTTGAGTTTAAAAACTGTAAAAACTGATATCTGCAATTTTCATGATAGCACAATGTTGCAAAACGCGGGGTCGATGGTACATTCTTTAAATTTTGCTCTAAAACCGACCTCTTAGTACAAGGCTGAAATACGGCGCAAGGTTGACAAAGAGAAAAAAGACGAGACAGAAAGAGTGCCAATCAATAAACCTAGCACGGCAAGAAGCAGAAGCGATCAAGTGCACGTAATCCTGAGACTGAGTAGAAGGTAAAACAGACTGGAAAGAGCCCCTTGTAGAAGAAATGAAGCTTAACAGTACGTTATGTTGGGCTAGTTGGTACATATTAGGCTGAAATACGTAGTGCAAGGTTGACAAAGAGAAAAAAAGACGCCAACCAATTCTCAGGATTACGTGCACTTGATCGCTTCTGCTTCTTGCCATGCTAGGTTTATTGGTTGGCGCTCTTTCTGTCTCGTCTTTTTTTTCTCTTTGTCAACCTTGCGCCACGTATTTCAGCCTAATATGTACCAACTAGCCCAACATAACGTACTGTTAGGCTCTTAGTACAAGTTTTTTTTTTTTTTTTCATCTTGCGCTGTTACCAGTTTTTTAAGCACTACCTATTTCGATATCAATGGTCTAGGCCTACACTGCAAGTGCATGTGAAATGTTTCACGTGCATTACTTCTGTAACAAATGGTTTCAGTCCGGATTGCAATGTACACATTGCAAAAAAAAAAAAGTAGCCAATCACTTTGGTGAAAAATACAATACTCATAGTTTCCAATTACAACCTCACAAAAGTAACCATTGATTAATATGTAGTCAAGCATTTAACTTGCTTTCAATCTGGAGGCTAAAGTTTTCTTGTGAACTTGTCCCAAAAAAGCTGACCAAATACTTGTGAGTTTGCATACGAACGAGCTCGGATAAATACTCTTTTGGTGACTAAGTTACCGTAAGCAAGGCTCAGCATAATTCTTGTGAGCTTCAGGTGAAGTAAGCCTACCTCAGCAGGATTTTGCCGGGTGAATCAAAGTAGCAGAACCGAGTCGAATTTTGGTGAGTAAGAGTCCAAGTGAATACGTGGCCACAAACAGGCAAACTAAAGTGGAACTAACTCAGAATCACGCAAGAAGTATATCTTATGCTTGGCTTACTCACACGCACCAAAGTATTCCTGAGCTGGATTCACTCCCACTCACTGAAGTTTTCTTCAACTGCACTTACTCAGACTTGCGGCTCGATCTGAGACTGAGTCGACTCGTGAGTTCACCGACCCATTTACCTGGCCTAAACATATTTCTTCAGCAAGCCCGAGTTCCATTTAGTTTTGCTGACCTGTAGTGACACCTTGCCAAGAATGCATCCTTTGTATTTAGTTGCCACTCTTAGCACCAAAAGATCTGCCCCGGGTACTCCGCTTTACTGCATCCGAGGGACAACAGCACCAATCACCACTTCACCATCATCAAATGCCACTTCCACTAAAAAAAGAGAGAGGGGGGAAAGATAATAATATTTATTGTTTATTGATTTATTTGAGAAATTTATTGCCTCAGAATAATACTGGTTATGAGAGACGGCTATGTAGAGCGAACCAGGTTTATTTAAGCCACCTGGATGTTCAGATCTTTATAACTTGCAAATAAGTCTAGGCATTACTACAAGACCAATTTTTTAAAGATTTTTGCTAATCCAAATGCAGTGGGAGGAAATCAAACCTGCAATTTGGTGCTCAGCCAGCATGCCACAGCTGTTTTCTACTCAATAAAGATTTTTGCATTTCTGAATTAAGTAGTCAACTTTGCGCCAAAAACACAATCACACAGAAGAAAAAGCAAATACAGGACGGCCGCTTTAGTTCCACTAAAAACTTTTGCCTTTCACACCATTGCACAGTGGCACGAAAGCAACTGCCACAGTGCATCTTGAACAGTCAAGTAAACCCTGAGATAGTATATGCACAGTACGAAAAATCTTAAAAATGCCGAGCGAGCCGCCCCCGCCCCCCTCAATCCTTCTTTTGCGGGAATTGTTTTTATTCAAGATGAGCATCCCTTGTGCAAAAAGAACCACAAGAATGGGAACACTGAATGCGTATCTAATATTGTTTATGAACTGCTTGATAAATGAAGCATTTCATTATAAATGTGAATGGGCATGTTTCATTTTTATTGGCTCTCACACCAAACATCTCGAATTTCGGTCTGTGACCTAGCGAGCGCCCTCCTCCTAAATCTGGTCGAATTATGCTTCACCGTAAAGGGGGGGGGGGGGGGGGCTTGTTCAACGTTTTATCGTAGGCATATCTTGTCGGTGTTTGTACAGGAATAAATTCATACGCACTTACTTGCTGCAAAGCCCTATATTCCAATGTGAACAGCGAATCAATAAGCTTTGGTGAACAGCAACAAGTGCTATAGATGACTAGAACAGCACTGGTATACGGGTAAAAAAAGAATATAATCGAAGTTGATAAATATAGCATGAATGACCATCAGTCAACAAGCATGTGCATTAAATGTTGTGATTAGGTTAGACAGTGCAATGTAATCTCGCTAATATGATTCTGCAAGTAACATTTATAGCACGTATCAATAAGACCACGTAGGTGGCACAATAAGGCTTGCCTGTTATTGTAGTGAAGCGTAGGGCTGGCTGTATTCATATCTTGAAAAGGGAGTGGCAAAAGCAGTTCAGAAGAATGAAAAACAGGACAGGCAAAGAGCTTGCCTGTTGGTAAGCCTTTCACCCACCTCGGAACCCACAGCTACTATAGGCTTTCAGCATGGCAGAGATCAAGAAGCCCTGGCCATTTTTATTTCGAGTGACAGAAATTCGGCAACTGCTTACGATTTTGAAGTCTAGTAATGAAGTAGCCAAACCATTACTTAGCCAAATTTTTTAATATTCATATAAAGAAACTTTTGAAACATTAAGCACCGTAGTTTAAAAAATTCAGTAAATTTGGCTAACACTAAAAAAACAGCACAGCCAAAAGCCTGTGCTCTCAGATTTAATATGCTGTCAATTCACACTCAATTCACTTTGCATCACCTTAACATTTGTTTCATTGTTAATTTGCGTGTAATACACATTTACTAACTTTATTTAACATGTGGCCACATTTAGTTCACCCTTAAATATACTTTAGTTAACTTTAATTTGCATTTTATTCACCTTGTTCACTTGATTGCTTCTAATCACTTGGTGCACACTTGCTATATTAGATCACCTTTCATTTGCATTGGAACTTCAATTCTCATTCAAGGGATGCAGATACGGGCCGCAGGTGACTTCTAGTACCATTTGTGGATTCAAAGCTGGATGCCAGATATTTTTTACTTGTGAGTCCTACAAGAATTTCGCAGTAACGAAAACCTTTTGAATGTTAAGCCTGCTAGCGTACTAAACTCGAACAAAAGTTACATTTGATTCATTATGGAAAAAAAAATATGCCAGGCCTGCATGGAAAGCACAATGAAAGCTGGAAGAACACTATTTCTATAACCCATAGCAAAACCTCATGGTGTTTTGGTGTACAAGTACACTTGCAAGGTACCCACAACTCCATTAATTGAGTCTGTGGCTGATCACGAACAATTATGGCATAGCCCTTTCCAATGGGTTGAAAGCATCCAACGACTCACTCATAATGCAATTCATATAGTGTGACTTCTGGTTACACAATTTAGATTGTGATGCCAGGTTGTCTTTTTACTCTTCAATCCCGTCATATCGCCCGTGTTAACGCTGTTCCCTTCCAAAATAACGTTTGTATAATGTTTTTGTGCACAGGAGTTTCGTGCCCCGGTGTGTCTCAGCGATAGAATACTGGGCTGGCGCGAAGAGGAACCAGGTTCGAACCCCGTTTCATACTTGACGTTACAGACACTGGCAGCGGCGGACAACTATGGCACCCTTGCTGTGATTTTATAACAGCTTTCGCTGTAAAACCTCTGCAATGCAACAAGCAGAAATTTCTAGCACCTTGATGGTTGAACTAATAGTTTGGGTATCTTCAAGCACGGAGGGCGATCAAAATCAAACTACAAACGCAGCTATTTAACGTCTATACCATTAGCAACGACAGCTGTTGCTCATCTCTCATACTTCATCGCCACTGAGCTCCGCTAATTTATTTTTAACATTTAGTGTCTATCTTCTAAAAGAACATTTAAATCCTACAAAGAGAAAAAACTTCACATCTTATATTTTTGCACATGACAAACTTGCATGAACCAACAAAACGAGGGTAATGTACGATGACACAAATCCGCAAGCCACGGGTAAAGCTGATAAATATCTACCATAACATTTGTACACATAAACAACCTTAAACGTCACAGACAGACTTTTACTGGCTGCCACTATAGGGGGGAGGCAAACAAGGTTGACAATCTTTAGGTGAGGACTACCTTTCAAATAAACCTTCACCGATTCCTGGCCCTATGCACACTCACGCTACCACCAGGTTTACGCTGAATGTATGTGACGTCTACAAATTACTGTCCGACAGGATTCAGCAGTCGAATTTTCACCTACTTATGTGTAACACAGTGGCATGAATGGCTACGCCAGCATCTCTACAATGTCGCCGAGTTTGGGCACGAAGAAATCTGGCGCATCATTGTTCTTCCCTTCGGACACCAGCTTGCGTACGTCGTCCAGGTGATGGATGCCGGATCCCACGAGAAGAGTCTTCATGCCAGCTCGACGGCCCATCATGATGTCCGTGTTTAGCCTGTGCATGTGCCAGTAATATTGAATGAGTATTGCACACTAATTTTCAAAGCGGAGTTTACTCTGCCATAGAAATCTCCTGTACATGGCTATGCGCAGCGGCAAATTCAGTGGGGGCGATCGCACCCCCCCTCCCCACAGCCTCCATCAGCCACATCCAGCTCCCTTCAGTGCTTCCTGTATGCCCTCTTTGTCGGGGTGCCTGTGGACATTGCCATAACTACAGCTGCTCAAACTTCAGTGCTAGCCAAGTGGTTAGCAGCGGCGAATCGCAAATCCAGAGGGTGGGGGGGCTAAGGTCCCTCCAAAGACTATGTCAGCATTCCCCCACCACTGCTCTTCAGTGCTTCTCGTCCACCTACAACAAATTAGCACAAATGAAGGGCACCAAGGTGATCAGACGTTAACAGTACTTATGCTAAGACGGAGTTCTTATGCTGCTAAAAACAAAACAAAAAAGTCAGAATCTCGCTCCGACTGAGTGGCTGGGCCTGCCCCTAGTTGCGAGAAAGTGTAAATGCTTATAGCATACCTTATTTTGACATTAAAAGACCATTCTCACGTAGCGCACCTAGTGACAGTGACACTACAGTCAAACCCCTCAATAACAAAATCGCCGGGATGGGGAAGCGATCTTTGCTCGCTATTGTGAAAAAAAAAAAAATATACCCACACCAACTACTCTGTTCAACCAAAGTTTATTCAAAGAAGCCACTGATCTTGCTTTATTTCCTAATAGGTATTTCTAAGGAGCTTAACGGCTCGAGCCTCGCAGCTTAATAAGCTTCGCATGGCTTCGTCATCATCGTGGGCACTGAGGAAAGTTCGAATGATGTTAGAAGCATCAAGAACTTTGTGCCAGCTTACTTGCCTTTTTTGTGTTTTGTTGCTTTCATCCCTCTCATATTCTTTGCGCACACTTTCAATGATAGGATCCATCGGGCACAGCAGAAAGCACTTAGCCAGTTTGCAGAATGTCTGTCAATACGACGTCACTTTCGTGGGTGTTGCCATTCAAAACATCATGTGGTGACATAGTTTCCAACAGAGGCGTTCGCAAAAACTGATTTCCGCGAAAAAAATGTAAGTTGTCCCTATCATCAACATCGAACCAATTGTAAAAAGAAATAGCAGCACCGATGATGGTGGCAGAAATGTATGAGCCCTACTTGTCGATTGAGCAGTGCTGCAGTTTTCGAACTTCTGGGTTTCCGACTAGCTCAAGGGTTGAAAGTAAAACATTGCGGATTGCTACCTGAAACTTTCATTTGCGGCAGCGCTTTGTAAAACCTCGCCGCTGCGAGAGGGGGCAAATGCATTGAATTCGAGAATGCTCGCCGGGAAGGCCAGATTTCTTCGTTGCCGCGAGAATTTCGTCCTTGAGGGCTCTTGTTATTGAGTGGTTGAACTGTATCGTGACTTCAGGCTACAGTGTCAATTTGCACAAGTAAGGGTAGTTTTGTTTACATCAGGCACCAAATATTCCTAATGGCCACTTAATTGTGCATCACTGTAAACACTCAAAATGGCCACTTGAGCGTCACCCAGGGAGCCACAAAGCAGAGCGGCTGTGGCGGCGTGGGGACATCACAATATGTTATGCGAGCACATGGCAAAAGCTCATAACTTATTTTGATGTCAGGTAGCAGCAAGAACTGAAACTTGCTTTTAAAATCATGTAATTAATATTTCAGAGTGCTTTTTTGCTTTCCCGTAGATTTCATAAGCTCTTGAGGCTCAGCCCTCATGAGCCTAGAAAACTAAAGAAATGACAATTTGAAATTTTCCTGTCAGTGCGCCCAGTTAAGAAGTGCATTCATTAACATAGTTTGTGCCAGCTAGGCTACCAAGGGCTAAACACATGACAAAGGTTGAAGATGATTTGTACGTGTCACTCGGCTTTATTGGAAAATGCTGTTCTTTATCGCCACCCTCAGCAAGCCTACTAGCCTACGAAACGTTCCGACAACAGCGTTTAGTAGAGGCACTGTGACGTTGTAGTATGCACGACAATGCTGGAATGCGTCGAATTGGGATAGGCATTGTTCATGAAGGGCCCAGACAGCTTACAGACATGTCTGGCTTCAACACATTCCTTGCATGAAAATGATTAATTTCGTAGTGAAGCAGCCCATAGTGAAATTGCTCTTCCTTAGCATTACACTGAAAAAAGTATAACTTTACTTTGAGAGCTTATGCTTTGATGCATACTTTTATGAATTCTAAAAACTAGCGAGCAGCCGCTAAATTTGGAAGACAGACGACAGGGTCAGCATTCACTCTGCAACAGTTTGGTTATGCCGAACAGGTGAGTAAACTTCTATTCTAGAACATAATGTGGGCAAATGAGATCTGTTTATGAAGGTTTTGTCATAGAGAGGGTTTACTTTCACAGCCATATGCACTTTTAGCCCAAGCCTCACTTAACACCAGCTAATGCAAGCCTTGCAGATTATATGCCATCATTGTCATGACAGCACATTGCACTCTAAGAAATTCGCATAGACAGTGGTGCCAGATTTCCTTCTAGGTAATATAGTCAGAAACACTATGGTTTCTATGAACTAAGCAGTATGGTGCACGTCATTGGAATTCACATCAGTCTTAACACATTGACACTGCTACTCTAAAACCGTGCAGCATGACTTATCCGTTTTAACTACGACTAGTATATGCCCCGCATCAGCAAAATTAGATCCTTGCTCGGTCGTCCTTCTCCAGCACGCCAATGAAAAATTCCCACACTGCACCTATTTCAGAGGATACATGACACTTTTCCTTGTCGTCTACATAGAACACTACTCCTTCAACCTGCCAGCACTTCAACTGAGTGAGTGCCCAAGATCTCCACGGTACAGTTAATATCCTGATCTATTCATGTTTGTCTACAAGCATGTCAGAATAGAATGCACTGCCTGATTTAGTTGCCATTGAATGATGTCCAGCAAAACTGCAAGGCTTGTTGTTGGTGAAACAATTTATGTAGTGACTAGAGCTTCTAAATCTTCACTTCTATTATTTCTAGCACCAGATGCTTATTTATACAGCCCTTCATCTTATCTTGCCATGTACAATCACACTCAGAATGACTTGCAACCCGAGAGCACGTGGCTATAATAGTTCGTCACTAGTGACTTCCACTAGGTTTCCTTTCCACGGTATGTACCGTAATTACTCGAATCTAACGCGCACCTTTTTTCCGGTTAAGCGAGTTCATAAATCGCATGCGCGTTAGAATCAAGTACGAACAAAAAAATTACGGTCAATCTATTACCATCGGCAAATCCAAACTGGCCGCCCCCTACGTGCGTCGGCATGGCGCGTCGACCATTTCTGCCTATGTGTTTCCCATGTGCGGCACTTCGTACGTGTGCTGAGGAGTTCGTCATCTAGTAGTGCATTAGCATCGACGGCGTGGAAGGGCCGACTCCAAAAACTCGAATGCACCACGATGCCGCTTTTAAAAGAAAAGTCATCGCGTGTGCAGAAACGGACGGAAATCGGGCCGCATCGCGGTCGTTCAGAGTTCCCGAAATGCACGTGTGGGACCGGCGGAAACAAAAGCAGAAGATCGTCGACAGCAAAGCTTCACGCAAAGGCTTCAGTGCACCACAGCAGGGTCGCTTTCCGCAAATTAAAGAGCTGCGCGGCGAGTATGTGCTTGAGCAGCGAGCGGCACAGCGGTCCGTGACGACAGAACTGCTCCAAGTGCGGGCTATGCAATTAGTCTTAGAAAAAGGTCTAATGCGGAGCCAGTTTAAAGCAAGCAGGTGCTGGCTAACTAACTTTATGAAGAGGAAATGCTTTTCCCTCCGAAGGAGAACATGCATATGCGCAAAGTTTTGCGGAGGAGTACGATTAAAAGCTTCACAGTTTTCAGAAGTTCGTCCTAAACTTGCGGCAGAACAACGGCTACCTGCTTGGGCAAATCGGGAATGCCGATCAGACGCCTCTTTACTTCGACATGCCTGGCACCACAACCGTCGAGAAGAAGGAGGCGAAGCAAGTTCGCGTGCTGACATCGGTTCACGGTAAAACTACAGTGAAGGCAATGCTCTGTTACACGTCAGATGGGCACAAGCTTCGCCCGTACCTCATATTTAAATGGAAGACGCTCCCGAAAGGAGTCGTTTTTTCGAGTGGTGTGATCGTGCGGGCCAGCGAGAAAAATGGGTGCGCGTTGCAATCGATGTCTTACGTTGTTTTTTTTTTTTCGCGGTGGAAATCGGGTGCGCTTTACAATCGAGGGCGCGGTAGAATCGAGTAAATACGGTATTCTGTTCTCTCACTTGGAGAAAATCCCAAATGGGTCATTTCACGCCAAACGTCCCAGCCATTTCGTCGACCATCTTAAATGTATTCGAAAAAAATCTTGCTGATTTACGGCATTGAAAACAGTGAACTGCTAAAATATTTTGGAGACAAATTTTTTGGTCATGTGGCTACCTTCTGAACTTCCTGGAATGTCGTTTCGGTGTTGTTTATAAAAAAAATATTTTAAAAGTACTACCGCTCTTTCTTTCTGTAACAAATTTGGTCGACATGTTAATGGAAATGTTGTGACGATTGTGCCACAGCCGTCATGAAGAACACAGGATGAACTTGAATCATGACCTTTACGAACAGGAAAGCACCAGGTATACAGACGGATCGTGTCTATCAAAGGTGTGCTTCAAAAGGTTGCACTTACAAATGATGTAGACTACAACCAGCAGCTACAAGAGATAAACATTTACTCAGCAGCCTGACATTGTGAGTCGCACTTGTTCAGTGCTTCAGCGCCTTTCACTGAGCAATTATCCTTCATGCCTATGCCGCCTTGAGCTACCGCTGTCACACAAAAGGAGCAATAAATACTCTTTCTTTGTGTTCACACATATACATGTCACTTCATTTGTTACGTCAGCACCTTAGTGCCTTCATGTAACAGCAAACTCCGTTCACACTAATGACACATTTTGAAAGAGAGCCCAATGACAAAGCATCAGTGGAAGACGCTGTCAACATTCGCAGTACTATTCACAGAAGTGCTGGACTGTGCAAGTCTCACGACAGTTTAAACCCAGCTCACGTTCAAAAGCTATACATTGTTTCACACATAAAGTGTAAAGTTGTGAAAGCTATGCAAGAGGCTGTGTCAGAAGAACGTGTACATAACTCTGCAAATCTCGTTGTTGGTAGTACTGGCCATACAAAGAAACGGAAAATTCTATTCTGGATTATAAGAACAGTTAACTATTTCTGAACGCGGACGCATGTATGTACTGCAAGAAGTCTTGATAGCCACCACAGCACCTAATGTGTGATGTGCCTCATGTGTGAAACAGAGTATAGTCTCCATATTTCGCTCACACACAAAAAATTTTACCTGTCTCCAATCATGAGTGTCTTTGCTGCCACCAGGTCCGGGCAGACGTACTTGATGCAATCGACCATGTGCTGCTCTGGTTTTCCGAGAACCGTGGGCTGACGCATAGCGGCTGTGCGGACCGCTGCTAGCATGCAGCCGGACCCTGCAAAACATCAGGCATTCGAGTTGCAGTAACTGTTCAGATGGGCGAAGAGGAAAGTTGAGGTTCCACGTGGGGATAGGCAAATATTCAGGTGCTTCAAATAATGAAAGAAATATTACAGTATTCTAAATCTCTTCAACACAAATTTATAGTATTGTTCAAAATTTCTCGAAATGAATGAAGTAAGTATATTTCCTCGCATAAACCTTCCTGTGAAAGTAACTTCACTGCAGCGTGAAAATGCTATGCCGTGAAGACTCCACTTCATAGTTAAGGACATAAGGTAGGGTAAAACTTAGAAAATAAATCGAATTTTGGTTTCTTGCTTGTCTAGTATAACAAGGCCTTCCTTAACGATATCCAGTGCCCCACACATTTTACGACATTTTGTGATTCACCCAAAAGGATTAAGTTTTCGAGACACAGTGACTAGCAACAACGCTCCCATTTCCCAGGCTGCACAAAGTTCAAGCTCTTAATTGAATTTTCTTGATAATTAAACTGATAGTTTCTCTGAGCTTAACAGGATTTTGTGTATTAGGCTGGTACATAGCGCAGTTTTTCATAACACGCATGGCATTTACCAAGTCCACTTGCTTCGTCTGTGTGAGATGTGCATGGAGATGCAGTGAGGCGGTTAGGAATAACTACCTTCATAGAATGCAAAGGTACCATGACACTTACAGAAAACAAAATAAATTGTAATCTTTGGAATGTATATCCTCAGAACTGCCACCTCTAAAAACCGTTCTAACTTTAAACCCTGAGTAAACAATCTCAAAGTTCAAAGTTCTAAGGAACAACACCAAGGCCAACACTGTGATATGGTTAGGTGAGATTGACCGCCGCCGAATTTATTCTACCACTAGAGAGACACATAATATAACAAAACAAGCCAGTAATCTGAGAAAACACAAAAGAAGTGAAAATCTGATGTAGTTGATGATATGGTTGGTTGCTATATTAAGATGTTCAGTGCATCTTCTTTTTGAACAAAAACAAAATAAAGTTGTTTTGTCCTTTCAACTATCAATATCTCAATCTATTTTTTGTTACATATGCCCCATTATAACGCAACCTGAAAAGATGGAAGGCTTATTTTTTGCTAGAATGAACCAGACACCAACACATGTATGTGAGCATGCCAATCATTGAATTTGATTTGCGTGATGCTGTATGTCATTCCAGTAATAGCAACAGACGCACACTTGATATCTTGAAGCAAGTTGGCATCAAGCCTAGCTGCATCGTGAAAGCATGATGCTGCAAAGAAGGCTAAAAAAAATAGTGAGGTGCCATACGATCAAAGGCAGACAAAACTAAGGTCCAAGATAGAACTAGCTACAACTGCTGAGGATCTCAACACTCCTGATCACCTTTTGTAGGCGCTGCTCCTGTTTCAAATTTTAAAATGTTTCAGAACTGACATTTTCAGCATTTTTTTTGCATGCAAGCAAGCATAACTTTTCGCTAATAAAGATTTTTTACTAAAACTTGACACTTTTTCTTATCTCATTAATGAGTGAGCAATGAACCTCAGTGAGTAAAATGGTGCCAAAAGATCGATATGGCGGCCACTTATATTAAGGTGCCCCTAGAGTTAGTGCATAAATCTTTGGTTATTTACACTGTTTTAATATCCATCTGATCTCATTTGTTTTGGTACATTGTAGTGGTCAAAACCTATGTCCCTATAAAAATTTGCATTTTCAGACAGCAGAACTTGAGTTAAAATTATTTGCAAGAGAAATACTTTTAAATGTGAAAATTAATAAAAAATAGAAATTACCCCATGATGTTCACATATTCATAAAAAGTGTGCTTTGTAATGTAGACTCAATATATGTAGCACTTATCATTACTTAAAAATATTGTGAGGAGGTTTATTAGTCGTTAAAGACAGCGACGAGACAGCGTGAACAACCGTCCAGCGATCGGCACAGCAACGAACCGAAGCACGAGCCGAGAGAGCCGGGCGTTGGCGATGCTGCTCGCTGCAGGCACATCTTCTTCTTCACAATCGCCCCCGCTGAAAAAGGAGCCATCCTGGCGACTTAAGAAGTTTCAGGCAAAGGCTCATGGTACGGTTTCAGTCGGGAAACATGGACGATGTCACGTGCACGCCGGCGCATGTCGTCCGATCGGGAAACTGGTTCAATTAGAAAATTAACCGGAGATGTTTTCTCCAAAACGGTGTAAGGCCCCTCGTACCGGGGGACAAGTTTCGAGGAGAGTCCCGGTGTTTGGTATGGGATGGCAAGCCACACAAGAGACCCTGGAGCATAGCTGGGATCCGGAAGAGAGGTGCTACGGGTTTCTTTCTGGCGTTGTTGCTCTTCCAAGGTGAACGCACGGGCGAGCTGGCGGCACTTTTCGGCTTGTCTAGCAGCATCGGAGATAGGTGGACACTCGGAAGCATCAGGACGGTAAGGAAGTAGGGTATCAATTGTATGGGAAGGCTCGCGTCCGTAAAGAAGAAAGAAAGGTGAGAATCCCGTGGTGGTTTGTATTGCGGTGTTATACGCGAACGTGACGTATGGGAGAACACGGTCCCAGTTGCTATGATCAGATGCCACGTACATTGAGAGCATATCACCTAGCGTGCGGGTGAACCGTTCCGTTAGTCCGTTAGTCTGCGGGTGGTATGCTGTTGTTTTCCGATGAATGACGTGGCATTCCGAAAGCAGAGTTTCGACGACCTCGGAAAGGAAAGCGCGGCCTCTGTCACTAAGGAGCTCTCGAGGTGCACCATGTCGAAGGATAAAGCGTTGCAAAATGAAAGAGGCGACATCCTGAGCTGTAGCGCTCGGCAAAGCGGCTGTTTCGGCGTAGCGTGTCAGGTGGTCAACCGCCACTATAATCCACCGATTACCATCTGGTGTCAATGGAAGGGGACCGTAGAGGTCAACGCCGACGCGATCAAATGGCTTGGCAGGGCATGGAAGTGGCTGCAATGCGCCAGTCGCACGTGGCAGTGTTGATTTACGTCGCTGGCAGTCAGGACAGCACTGCACGAATTTACGTACAAAATTGTACATGCCGCGCCAGTAGTAGCGATGGCGAAGGCGTTCATATGTTTTGAACACTCCGGCGTGGCCACATTGCGGATCGTCGTGAAGGGAGGCACATACTTGCGATCGTAAAGTGCGTGGAATGACCAGCAACCACCGGCGGCCATCGGGAGCGTAGTTGCGTCGATGAAGAAGTTGATCGCGGATGGCGAAATGGAAAGCTTGACGTTGGAGGGATCGAGATACTGGAAGGTTGGGCGTGCCAGATAAATATTCGATAAGAGAGGCGACCCACGGGTCACGACGTTGTTCGGTGGCAATCGAGTCGAGATTTAGTGATGACAAGGTCTGGAGGCAAGTGTTTCCGCACGTCTGATCTGGTGGTAAAGGTGAGCGGGACAGAGCATGAGCGTCAGAGTGTTTGCGTCCGCAGCGGTATACGACGCGAATGTCGTACTCCTGGATGCGGAGTGCCCATCGCGCAAGGCGGCCAGAAGGGTCTTTCAACGTGGAGAGCCAGCAAAGCGCGTGGTGATCAGTTACTAGATCGAACGGGCGGCCGTATAAGTACGGCCGGAACTTTCCAAGCGCCCACACCAGAGCCAAACACTCTTTTTCTGTCACGCTGTAATTAGTTTCGGCTTTCGTCAGAGTGCGGCTAGCGTAGGCTACAACGTATTCTGAATAGCTGGGCTTTCGTTGAGCGAGGACCGCGCCTAGCCCGACGCCGCTGGCGTCGGTGTGCACTTCGGTAGGAGCCGTCGGGTCGAAGTGGCGAAGAATAGGTGGGGAAGTGAGCAGACGGCGCAGGGTAGTGAAGGCAACGTCACATGCAGGGGACCAGGAGGTGAGGTTCACGTCACCGCGAAGAAGCTGGGTTAACGGTGACATGATAGATGCAAAATTGCGAACAAAGCGCCGGAAATAGGAGCATAGGCCTACAAAACTGCGAAGTTCTTTCATGGTCGTCGGCTTGGGAAATTCTGCGACTGCTCGAAGTTTTGCTGGGTCTGGTAATACGCCGTGCTTGGACAGGATGTGGCCTAGGATGACGAGCTCGCGTGCAGCGAAGCGGCATTTTTTCAGGTTAAGCTGCAGACCAGCGTTGGTCAGACAACTCAAAACGTGCCTGAGGCGAAGGAGGTGCGTAGGAAAGTCATGGGAGAAAACCACGACATCGTCGAGGTAACAGAGGCACATATTCCATTTGAGGCCACGTAGCGTATTATCCATAAGACGTTCAAACGTGGCAGGCGCGTTACAAAGCCCAAAGGGCATGACGTTAAATTCATATAGTCCGTCTGGTGTAATAAATGCCGTTTTTTGGCGATCGGCTTCTGCCATTGGGACCTGCCAGTAGCCAGACCGCAAATCTAGCGACGAGAAAAATTCCGCTCCGTGAAGGGTGTCAATGGCGTCATCAATGCGCGGCAAAGGATAGACGTCCTTGCGGGTTATCTTATTCAAACGACGATAGTCCACGCAAAATCGGATAGATCCGTCTTTCTTACGCACCAGGACGACGGGAGACGCCCAGGGACTGTGAGATGGTCGAATGACGTCTCTACGAAGCATATCTTCGACTTGATCGTTGATGACGCGGCGCTCTTCAGCGGAGACACGGTATGGTCTTTGACGCAGTGGCTGGTGTAGGCCGGTGTCAACATGATGTTTGACTTGTGATGTGCGGCCCAGTTGAGGTTGCGACACATCAAACGAACTCCTGAACTCATGCAGAAGATCCAGCAGGTCGGCATGTTCGGTGGGAGTGAGAGTGTCGGCGATGGCGCTGGAAAACATATCATTGGACGACTCCCCGAGTGCCGACAGTGCTTTTGGGTGGTCGCAGTAGTCGTCCGGGACATCAAACAAAAACGAAGGGTCGAGATCCTGCACGCGGCTGAGACATTCCCCCGCAAGCAATGTGACAGGTGTGGAAAGCGGATTGCTTACGAACATGTTGCTTCTTCCGGCGGCAAGGTCAATTGTTGCGAAAGGCAGCGGCAAATCTCGACGACATTTGAAGATATCGGAAGGCATAAAAAGAACTGTAGCGTCAGTGTAGGCGTTGCATGAAACGGGAACAAGGGCGAAATTTCCAGGCGGAATATCGGTATCTTCATGAACGAGCAATTTCGGCGGCTGATGAGGAGCGTCCAGTAATGGGACATCACACAAGGGTGAAAACTCAACTTCGGCGCGTGCGCAGTCTATGACGGCATTGTGGCGGGATAGGAAGTCCCACCCGAGGATGACGTCATGCGAACAGACAGGAAGAACAATAAACTCCACGATGTAAAGAATGCCTTCGATGGAGATTCTTGCAGTACAAGCTGCGAGAGGCGTTACTTGCTGTGCGCTTGCGGTGTGAAGCGACAGTCCGGAAAGCGGCGTCGTTACTTTGCGTAATAAACGGCAGAGATTAGCGGCAATAACAGAAACAGCGGCGCCAGTGTCCACAAGGGCGAAAGTACAATAACCTTCAACAGTTACTGCGACCACGTTAGCAGGAGAGGAGCGAGGGCTTAGACAGTTCGAAACCGGCGCAGTTCTTGCCTCTTGAACTGCGTTGCTTAGTTTTCCTGGTCGGAGGGTCCGGGCAGGCGACGCATGGGGGAGGGCGATCGCCGAAGAGGAGAGGGTGCGCGTTGCGGCTGGAAGTCAAGGTGGTCAGTAGGCGCATAGCGAGGTGGTGAGACAGGCCCGTATTGGACGAAGGGTTGGCTGCCGGGATGCGATGACCGGGCATAGTTGCCGAACGTCTGAGGTCGACGGCGGCAGTAGCGAGCAACATGTCCGGGAGTGAAGCAAGCATAGCAAATCGGTCGGTTATCGGGCGTCCTCCAGGGATTGGCGACTGGTGCTGCCGCCCAAGGTGCAGTATAAGCAGCCGGGTGTGCGGGCTGTGAGCGCGTGGTGTAGGGTGGTTGCGGGAGCCTACGTACAGCGTCTGCATATGTGAGCGGCGCGGCTACGGGCTGCATCTCTTGCGAAAAGGCGACAGGAGGAGCCACAGGCTGCGCTGCATACGTTAGGGGCGCGGCCACAGGCTGAACGGCTGGCGGATAGGCGACAGGAGCGCCTACCGGCTGTGCGCCACCCGGGCAGTGACCACGGCTAGGTAGAGGTGGCTCGTAGTGCACAAGAGGAACAGCTTGTGCAACCTCTTCCGATATAGCAGTGCGAAGCGGGGCAGGTAGACGGGTGGTGGTCTCGTGAGTAAAGGGCACTAGGGAAAGTTGGCGGGCGACTTCCTCACGGACGAAGGCTCGGACTTGCTGAAGCAATGGTGAATTGTCCGGCATGGAGTCGAAACTGGACAGCGACTCACCACCAGGCTGAGGCTGCCTAGTCAGAGTGCGTTGCTTTTTCAACTCGTCGTAGCTCTGACACAAGCTGACGACTTCAGAAACTGTGCTTGGATTCCTTGCCAAGAGCATTTGAAATGCGCCGTCGTCGATGCCCTTCAGGATGTTTTTGACCTTGTCAGATTCGGGCATGGTGTCATTCACACGTCGACAAAGGTCGACGACGTCCTCAATATAGCTGGTAAAGGTCTCGCCAGTCTGCTGAGAGCGGACGCGCAGGCGCTGTTCTGCCCTCTGCTTGCGGACAGCCGGCCGACCGAACACTTCAGCACATGACGTCTTGAAGACGCTCCATGTGGGGATGTTGTGTTTGTGGTTATTAAACCACAATTCGGCGACGCCAGTGAGATAAAATATCACGTGGCCCAGCTTGTCGGCTTCATCCCATTTATTGTTGGCGCTCACCAGTTCGTAGTGCTCGAGCCAGTCTTCGACGTCGGTCCCATCTGCACCGCTGAAGACCTTCGGCTCCCGTAGCGTAGGATGGCCAGGGCAGTTGAACTGGAGCGAAGGCGTCGATGTAGTGGCGTTGGCAGTCATGACAGGTGGTAGCGTGCGGCTTCGCAGCTCCAGGGTGTAGCGACGGGGATTAACAGCACCTTCCACCAAATGTGAGGAGGTTTATTAGTCGTTAAAGACAGCGACGAGACAGCGTGAACAACCGTCCAGCGATTGGCACAGCAACGAACCGAAGCACGAGCCGAGAGAGCTGGGCGTTGGCGATGCTGCTCGCTGCAGGCACATCTTCTTCTTCACAATATATTTTCTCCACCCAAACCATTGTCTGGGCGCCAGGGCCTAGGGCGTCACCGGGAACCAGTTTGCGGATGAGGCAGCTCGAGGCTTCACAAATCACCGAGCTTCCTTGCACACTGCAATAGAGGATCCAACGCCCCTAGACCCTAACTTTGGTACAATTTTTCAGTATTAGAGGGACTATAGAAAACTGTATCCAGCACCGCATAAGAACCTCACAGCAATGGAATCGGTGGCATTACGCAGAATCCAAACAAACACACGAACTTACACAGTCTACATGTATTCTATATATGTCCGTGGTGTGGGACCATACCAACTCTGTTTCACATCACGTGGGAGTGTACACATCACAGTGAAGAACACCACAACATGAATAACACAGAGGAACAATGGGAGGCACTGCTGTCCAGCTTGGCTGTTGGTGATCGACACTGACTGGTCCAACAGGTAGAGATGATGGCTAGGGCCAGCGGAGCCCTGGAATAGGGGCCCGACCATTTCGAATGCTCTGCGTTATGCGCGAATAAAGTTTTTTTCTCTCTCTCTCCACACATAACCTTAATCGCTCTCTATGCCTTTTGCCATCCTGTGTGATAGCATCATACGGTTGTGTCTAACAAAATAAAAGAGTGTTCGGCTGCACCATCTAATTCAGTATTGTGCAAAAGCACACACCAGACCCATAGAAAATGGCAAAACATGTTGGAATTTTGAAAAAAAAAGACGTACAAGCGTGGCAGGCACAGTTCTTGAACAGATGAGGAATGCCAAGCGTGTACAAGCACTACAGGGCTGAAGAATGGCCGATATCACTACTCTCGCTGAGCCCAGCTGAAGCGTCATCTTCTTTCTTAACATCTGCGAAATCTCAAGAGGCATGGTAAAAGTAATTTTGCACTAATAAATAAGACCCTCGATTTCTTACCTTTCTTTTTCTGATTCCACAGTAATCTTACACCGATAGACATACCTAAGAGCCAACACCATGGCTCCAGTGCTGTATTACACACGTGGTGCGAAGCTTGTGGGCTCCATCCAAACTTGGGGGAAGTTGGTTTTCCTGTCTGCTTTAATTTTCTTCATTTTATTATTGTTACACTTCGATTAAAAAAAAGCTAGAAACTGTGGCTTCATTATCGGCTGCCTTCATGTGGTTGTGTAAACTGTATTGTGCCCCTCGGTCAATACCCCTTCTTTTGTTCACTTATGGCATCGCCAATGAGTCGCGCCAGTGCACCCAGTAACTATGATGATTGGTGTACATCAAAGTTCCCTGGTGTGCACTGGTGCAGTTCTTGCTTATATATACTACGAATTCATGAACTGACCAGGTACAACGATGTCCAGGTTGGTGCACGGGTACGTTTCGTCTGCGTTGGTGGCGAGGAAAAGGCAGTCCTTGTCTTTCAGGTAGGTCGCAGCCCTGAGGCACTTATTGAAGCTCAAGTGCTCATCGAAGCCACAGACAACAGCCTTCACCTGCAGTGTATGCAAGGGCCTATCAGGGAAAGCCAGCATGACTCAAATATTTCATGAAGCAAGTATGACCAAATGTAACGGCATTATTCTGTTCAGTCCCACAGTACCATCTGTGTAGCTCGCATTTGTTTAGCTAAAAATTAACCTGAAAGCAATCTTGCATGATGATTGTTTGACCTAACATCTGATGCAAGTGGATGTGAAAAGAGATGGTTTGAATGCACTGTGGCCCACAGCTTCTGTGAAAGGTGTTGTCAATTTTGGCTATGCCCGCCACTGTATTGCTCAAGATGACACAAGTTATCTTTAATGACAATCTTCAACGTACTTGTCACAAAAATCAACAATACAGCTCTGCATACAAGGCTATGGACATTGTTTTGCAAGTTCACCTCTGTTTGAACCTTGTCTTTTATACAACAAGTGGCCTGAGAAAAAAAATACTTCCACTATGTACTATGTGAAGGTCATCTAGCTGCGACATTAGGACAACAAATGTCTTTTCTATATTTGTGACATTGAAGTTGATAATGAGAACTGACTTCAAAAGCAGCTGTGTCCATGGATAGTGTTATATGCAGTTTCAATTTCGTTTGTGTTCTTGAGACCCCAGTGGGCGCATTGATTCATTGCTATAAAAACCATGTACATTGTAAACAAAGCCTTTTTTAATACATTGTATCGGCATTGTATCCCTTCCTTAGACATTACAGATGGTCTTCATAGGTTGTAACTTGGCCCACACTCCCTACAGTTTGAAATGTTCCAATACTACCAAATTCTAGAGCAGTTATTCTCAACCATAGCTATTTCAGGGACCCCTCGTGAATTGGTGGAAGCGATAAGGGTACCCTTACAGCAAGAAAAAGTGGAGGTCATAAATTAGCGCAGCATGCAGTGTGAAATCGGGGTGTTTTATTTCTTCCTTGCAAAGAATAGTCAAACCAAAATGCCAAGCCAATTTGATCTCAACAGTGAGTCAGCAAGTTGTGCAGTCTGTAGCCACATTATACCTGTTTCTAACTGTGTTTGCTCTCAGATATACAAACCTACACGACACATGCTCACGAGCATGTGTCATAGAAAACTGCAGTAAAAGCTTTAAAGCCATCTCATGGAGAAAGAATGGAGAAAGGAAAACAAGTCAGCTCTGCACATTGAACATCAGAAGGGGTCACCGGGGGAAGGGAGTGAGCAAAGTGTGTCGCCAAAACCTTCCCAGTTATCAACACAACACCATGGTCGCTACACCACGGATACCACTAGGGGTTGCTACCATAGGAGACGCTATAGTAAGATATCTTTCTTTGAAAACATTCACTTTTGGTAAATTAATTATAAGATATTTCTCCAGTCATTTATAAGCCAGCATTATATATAGCACTATTGGAAAGCAATCCTGCAGTGGATGATACCGAATTTCAGTGGTAAAAATAGACGCCGCTGATATTTGGAAGAGTTGCGAGAGATCAGTGGCTTTAGCCTAAGTATTAATCATCATGTTCACATAAGGTACACAGACTATCTTTATATTATTTGCAGTGAAGCACCTAGACACTGCCATTCAATATTCATTTGTACTCCTGTAGTTCACACCAACTGCTTAAAGTAGCGGTTCTTTTCCAGAATTACCAGCGAATGTACTTCTCTGTAGATGCAGTTTCGTACTCATTCCCTGTTTTATTCTTAAAACACACAGCTGATATTCTGGTTTGCAGCTAATATGCTTTTCTTTGCCTCTATGTAACCTTGTGAGTTGAATTTTGTTATCTACACAAGTGTCTCTTGATGCGATTAATTATGTCCTTTTATCTGTTCAACTTGATAGCAAATAATATTATGTCTCATGCTATCACAAGACATAATAGCAAGTGCAAAGAAGCCAGCACAAGGAATGTGCAGTTGCTAGCCTGGTTGTGGTATTTTGCGAGATACTCATGACGCTCTTGCAGAACTGTGAATGAATGTGCTAACTTACACCAGGCTCGATCTTAACTTCTTCCAGACAAAACTTCAGCCAGTCTGGGCCAGTTGTGTCCGGCTGAAAAATGAATTCAGAAATTAACCATAATGACACAGTGATACTTTGATGACAACATTCAATATCTAACAGTGCTATATAACCGTACTGAGCATTCTTACATTAAAAAGCTGACCATACATAGCAGTGCTACCACCATACATGATTTATGTCGTTTGGACACTATGTAAATTACTGGTATGCAACATGATTATGCAGACTCACGTATAATGTCATCTATGCTTCAAAAACATATAATAGGGATTTACTCAAAATTATCTAAGTGGCAAAAAGTTTTATACAACGCACATGTATAAGAATGTACCATGAAGTATGCTTTACGTATGATCAAGCACAAATAGAATGTTTTTCCATCATCTGTGTTGGTATTATTTTCATTACATTTGCCATTTGTGCTCTTATGCTCTTATATGACATGTGATGGCCTCAGACATGCTTTGTATAGAAAGCACTTTGCACTGTACACTCACAATTTAGATAAGACCATCTTTGCTATTTCTTGTCTGTGTTCCTCAGTGTGCTACTATTATTCTTGAGCCGCATGAATGTGATGATTTGCTTTTTGATTGCCCGTTGCTGTTGCCTTGTATTTAGGGCTGCAGCTCAGTTAAGCTGTTATTGACAGCTTTTTCTGAAGCTCCCCTGTCCCTCTATTACTTGAGGAAGAAATAAAATTACTATTATTATTAACAAGTTGAAATCTATTGTCAAATGAACTTCTTATGATGCACTTGCCCCAATTATATAATAATAAATGTGATGCTCATGTACCACACCAGTCACAATGTCAACGTAATGAAATGTTTGTGTGCAAGATTATGCACTATCTAATCTAATCTGCGAAGAGCAATTCAAGTAAATGCAGATTTCAGGAGGCAACAGGATGACATCACATCTACCAACGTGATGTTTGCCAAGGAAAGAAAGGCAAAAAGTGACGTGATGAGACAAGTGCGACGAGCAAGGTGGGTGTGGCCAATATATATTTTTTTTCATTTAATTCCTACTGCCATGGCTTGATGAAAACTGCCGCGTGCATACAGTCTTGCACGAATGTGGTCTCACAAATACAATGAATGTCAGGCTTGCGCCTATTCAGCAAGACGGCGGCAGCCACGGTCACAGGAGGTGATTCGCTAAAAAGCTTCAGTTTAATATAAGCCTGCAAGCCACGTCCCACCACAGAGGCATGTGCTCAAAGAGCAGGGAGGAAGGCTATGTACTATGCCCCACACTTTTATACGGTTGGACATGAGTGTCGCCAGGGTGGTGCAAAACGGGCACTTGCCCCACTACAGCCACACCAGCACTTGCCCCCCACCCAAGCTTAACCCCTACCCAGCAAGGATGCACTGCATATTTGCACCCCCAAACACAAAATCCTGCCGACGTCCATGCAGTTGGATCGATGTCGTCGTTTAAAGTGCGGGATTTAAATGACTATGCAGGTCATTGATGATAATGGCAGCAAAGAATCTTTGACATTGCATCCCAAATATTGTCTATCTTTCATCTTTAGCCCACGCGAAGCTCAATGGATGGAGAAGGGGGCGGGAAGAGAGCACCGTGGTGAAATTCGGCATCCCCGAACACTGTGCATGCAAACACTGCAGTGTGTCACTCGACGACACAGTTTAGAGCAGGTAGATAAATATGACATTATATTTATATATGTACATTATAAGTTACATAAACTATGGGTACGTCCAGTTTGGCATTTGTAGAATACGAGCCTTACTTGTCTGACCGCTTTCATTATATATAAGTCGCACAGCAAAGTTGCTCCAGTAATTATACATTGCCGAATGTATATGTCATGTAGTCAATCATCCCCATCAGATTATCCAATGGTCTGATACCTATGGTTCTCAACAATCGCTCATTTAGAGTATTTTTTTTCATCATGCTAGCTTAGACAATGCAAATGTATATTTTAGAAAACAGTGAAAATATTCCTTTTAGCAAGAAAATGCTCCAGTGTGTTGATAGTGTACATATAATCATGCTAACTGACACTTTGAGCAAGCCAAACTGTTCAAACCAAGATTGAGAGAAATTATACACTTACAAAAACAATTCGTAGCAAAAGAAGCGATTTCTAGAACACATCAGATAAGCTAACGTGGACACATGTACAGCTTTTTAATGAGATATACAACTTTTATTCTGTTTAAATTTAGCAAGATGCTCGTGCAGTTCACCTCATTAATGTAGGTGTTCATACAACTGCTTTGAATTGCTATCACTAATTGAACAGTTTATGGATATGCAAGTACATACAAGGCCAATGGATTTACTACACGAGGTAATGTATGCCGAGGGCAGCATACAATACAAATAATAGCAGACATCTTATTCGTTTCATCTTTAGAACATGTACCATAAGAAAACATCGATTTATGAAGAAGTGCATTTACATATACGCACCCCGACAGGCAGCGTCGTAAATCCCCCTTCGTTGAGTTCGTCGCGAAGACCGGTGCTGGCGACGAGATAAATTTTTCCGGTGAAATTCAACTGCTTCAGGTGAAGCACAACGCAGTAGGGTGCCGTAATTATTTCGTCCTGTCATAGGGGGAAGGGAGGAGGATCGAACACGCATGCACGCATGCACTGTACAGCATTTGAAATTTGTACTCATACGAGAAAAAAGCGGTGATGTCTTTCTTACGAGGCTCGCTTCGAACTTCAACTGATGCATCTTGGCGAGATACCCTCGCCGAGACTTCGAGCTGTTGTTCGTCACGAAGAGCACTTTTTTGCACTGCGAATGCGTGATGAAAATAGCGTGCGACATAGCTGTCGCACCAGGCGAAATCACCGCGCGCACACGCAAGCAGCGTCAGCGGCCCAAGACTTACAAGTTTTCGAAGCAAAGATAACGCTTCCGAGGATCCAGGGATGGCATTGTTCGCCCGCCACAAGACGCCTGCGAAGGAACAGAGCGGAAGGCACGAACGTTGGCGCACGAATGAATGGAGGCCTCTTTCGAAATTGCTGCCACAAGAGGACAACCGGCGGAAAGTTCAAGGGCACGGACCGTGTTCACTCGCGAGCTCAGCGAATCGCGGCCCTCGACCGAACGAATGTTGATGACAGCCGTTCCGGCCACTCACCATCGCAATCCACGCAAACGTACGTGATTGAATTGATCAATTCGTTCTTCAGAATTTCTTTTGTAAGCAGACGACACCGACCCAAATCAGCCATTTTTTTTCCGTGACGTAAAGACACGTGACAAGTGTGACGTTGTTGACTTTTCACAATGACAATGCGAATGATTGGGCGAGAAGGTGCAAAGAAATGGCACTAGAGGATCCAAAGAGAATCATCGAGTCAGTACCTATATTTTTTTTTCAGGAAAACAAAATCTAGGGGCTTCAGTAACGTTCGGCTTGAAACAACGCAGACACAAAGTACCCAGTCGCTTTTTGCGCCAAGCGGCATCAAATATGCAATGCCTGCAGTGGCAAAGGTTACGATGCGAGACACTATTTTTTTATTATCATTATTTTGCGTCACCTACATCCATGCATTGAGTGGAACTGCTGATCAACATATTATATACCGAGTATTAGAGGAGTATTTCTGTCACTGGCTTGCTCGAGTTTCATTTCTCGAGAACTTGGCTCCTGCCATTTTCCTGTCAAGAATGATATGTCGCGCTGACAGCGGGATAGCACGCACGCCATTCAAGACAGGGAAGTGACGGGAACATAGTTTTCTACGTTATGACTGGGACCGCGGTGATCCCGTAAGAAAAGCGCAAGAAGCGTGCACTTTCCCCCAGAAAATGCACATTTATGGTGTCTTTTTCTAACACAACACCAAAAAAAAAAAAAAAAAATCACAGCATATATACGGATCGAATGATGATGAGTGGGACGAAGCGTTGGGGGGTTTCATCGCTAAACCGTGAACCATACACGAATATCGACCACTACATCATCAAAGACGTGACAAACACTGTACATATATATTTAAAAAAAAATGATTATTCGCAGAGTAGCCGCCTGGTGGCAAATGGCCGAAGTGACGCTCTGTGCGTCGTCTGCTAGTCAAAGTGTGGTTATGGTGGCTAGAATTGGGAGGTGACGCCAACGGGAGCTCGGAGCCGCTCCTTCGTTTCGAGCAGCGCGGCGGTGGCGCTGTCGGCGGAGTGGTGATGCTAGTTACGCGCGCGCGCCTTGAGCGCGCGGACCTTTCAAAGATGCTGTTGCTGAAGCATGATTCAGATAAATTGGCGATTCAGATAACTCACTGTGACGATGGCTGATAGAACGCCATTTCAAGCATTAAAAGAAATTGGCTGCCGCTGCAAGACTTCTGTGACGTTGAATCTGCGCAAATTAAAGCTTTCGTTCGCATATCCCTGCAGTGTTTTGGAGTGCAAGGCGACGGCGTTTTTTTAAAAAAAAATATTACCAAAGTTCTGGGCGAGGAAAATAAAACAAATATTTATTGCACATCATATTATTAGGAAGATCTATTGCACATCATGGAATACAGGGTAAAATAAAATAAAATGAAAAAATACGCACATTTACATACGCTCGGGAGTAGTTAAAAACATTGAAACATTGCACACAGACAGCGCATCGCTTGGCACTAAGTAATAAGAGGCATACAATCACTTTCCACTCGGCAAAAAAAAAATCAATAGAGCTTAAAGTTACAATATCAAACTCAGAGCACGCGTCTAAGCTTCAGCAATTTCATTCTTTCCTGCTTAGCGTTTCGTTTGCTGTTCTGGGCTTTCACATGAAAGTGGAGCCTAGTAAGAACATAAAACTTGATAATTTTGTTTGTGAGGGACATACTGTGGTCAGGGCAGCCAACAAGTGTAAGCTTTCTTAACTGCAAGAAGGAAACCAAGTCCATGATGCTGTCAGGTTTGACTTCTGTAACACTGAAGCAGTGGGTAAAAGTGTTCTCGAGAGTGGTCACGAGTTCATTGAGCTTGACTGATGGGTACAGCAGGCCTCCTCGGTCAACAGCAGCCGTGAGGGATGCTGCAGCTGGAGATGGATCGTTCTCGCCTTGTAGGAGCTGCTGGCTGCACTCTGCACATTTGGTGCTTGCAACGCTTTTTCTTGCCACATATCCAGCCATGTAGAATATGAGTCTGGCATCGCTGCTTTGCACGACCATGTCTGCATGCTCGGTGCCGTGGCCGTATTCATTGAGCACTTCATGTGCTTCGGCAAGGTTTCCTACGTCAAGAAGCTCGTCTAATTTCCTCCGAGGAGTGAGGTCCTTTCCGTTGTCAGCTCCCAGCAGACTTCTCAGCAGTCCTGAGGACACATTGCTTCCTTTCGGTGGTTTTGCCAAATTCTGGAAGCTCAAAGTGTTGACCGAGATTAGGAACTGGGAGGCAGTCGGATGATCATTGCATCCAGACATTTGTCGGACGATTCCAAACAGCCTCTCCAGGGGGTCCTGACTCAAGCGGCATGTCATCATATAGCTGAAGTTCAACTTCATCGTCAGGTAGCGGAGAAGGTGTAGCGTGCTTGATAAGGTAACACGAAGCCCCTCGGCTGTACTGCGGCTTAGGAAACCTCCGGAGCCAGCAGCTGTTTCCCAATCGTCCAGGTAAGTCAAGAAGTTTTGAATGCACTTCTCGTGCATCCCTCCAGGCTTAAGTGCACCCGAACTGCACCTTGAAGTCATGGCCTCAATGAGCCTTCTCATTCTTTCCACAAAGCTGACTGTCGCCGCTGTGCTCCCATGCTTTTCTTCGATGGTTGCATTGTACAAGAAAAGGCCTCTGAGGACTTCATCACTGTAAAGCCGCACTGCATAATTTACCCTCATTTTCTCAAAGCCATTGGGATGCACAACCGATTTGCTAATATGAGGCATGGCTTTGAGAGTCGTGTCATGCTGTTCATCAAGCTTCCGGGCACAGTCAATAGGGTCAACACTGGCATGGCCTTCTGGCAGTTTCACGCCCGTTCGAACAAAGGTGTTCCTCACACATTTAAGAAGGTGTGGGAAGTCCGAGATGAAGTGCAGAAAACGTTCTGGGTCTGTAGGGTGCTGCCTTCTACATACTGTGCTGCCTTCTACATACTGTGTTTTCACGATTCAGGAGTAGTCTTCTGAGGTGCTTGCATTGTGGGCAGGCTTTTTCTGGCGTTGGAGCAACCCCACGGCAAGATGGGCTGAAGGTTCTGCCATCAAAAGTCTTCTCCTTGTACTTTAAATTCACTCCAAATTCACCAGTTTTACCAAACCCTCTGCATGGTATCATGGAGTCGACGTCGCGAAGCAACTCTTCTGCCATTTCGATGTCGGTAATGTCAAGGGTCTTTATTTTTGTGGCTTGCACAAAAGCTGTCGCTTGAAGTTTGTTTTCATCTGATGTCATTAGCACATACTTGTCAATAGTCAACTTGTCACCATCTAGTGCGCAAACTGTAAACACCGTGGCGTTGTCGGCTCCAGCAATTAGATGTCGAGCCCAGTAAGCGCTGGGAAGACCACACTTGCGGACGTCGGGAATTGCGGGCACATTCGGAACAGGTATTTGGTTACTGTCGCTTTCTGTGCTGTACGAGCCAGCTGTCTCCTCGCCAGCAGACGTGCTTGGTTCCTAACGCCGAATTTTCGATGGTAGGCCGCAAGTGGATGTTCTTGACGTCCTTTTCTTCGGCACTTTCTTTGAAAGATACGCAGGAACATTTGGGAATATGGTTGGCACCGCGTCAGATTTCAGCACCGGTTTCCCTCGGGGAATCTGAACAGTTTCGCCGTTTATCACATGCGTGTAAAAACGCTCAATAAACTGCTCGTCGAAATGAAGCTCACATAGCGCCGACTTCACGTCCAACGACTTGTCGGCACGGGGTACGGCTCGTTGCCAGGCTTCGAAGAGGGCAGGGTCTTTGGGAACAGAGAAAAGAGAAGCACGCTGACCTTGCTCCCTCGATGACACATAGCCGCTCGTGCAGCCAGGAGCAAAGCAGTGGCGTTGCCTCGCTTTCGTAGTGCTGGAGTTCATCCTAAGGTCGGCACTCACACTGTCATGTCAGCAACTAAATACATTTTGCCATAAGCGAGACATCAACGCGGAAAACTGCACACACCCAGACACGCTTCCAGAGGCGAACCAGCGAACCCAGCGGCGAGTCGACGAGAGAGCGCGGAGCGCGCGCTTCGCCCGCATCACTATGCCGACAGGAGCGCCGTGGTGGCCGTCGCGGCGGCGCTTGAAAACGAGGATCGCGCGCGCTCGGCGAATATGCGGGCGCTGGCGTCACCTCCCAATTCTAGCCACCATAGTGTGGTTCGTCCGGTCATGTAAGCGCGAGATATGCCTGAAGTGACGCACGAAAGAATTTGGTCTTGCTCGGCTGCTAATGCATTGTAATAAGACCGGCGAGTGCAACTTTTAAAAGTGATGTTTATTGTCGTCGTACCCTCCATTCACCAGAATAATTTAAGAGTGGGTGCCGCTTTCTGTTTTAAACACATCGCAAAATGCTATTGGCATTCTCCCAAACGTGAAGAATATTAAATGCTGTGTGAGTGCAGCGTTCTATAGCGACTCGGTTGTGAAAAAAAGAAAAACAAACAATCTGGCTCTAGATCATGCACTTGAGCGCTATTAGTAGTTGCACAACTACGGCACTGTAGTTTATCGATCATGCGAGGAGCCTTAGTTGTGTTTATCTGGCCGTGGTACCACTACTTAGAAATATTGCTATCACATAAACTGTGTCACATCGGTACTTATACTGTACTTAAAACAGAGTTAGCGTAACCGTGCGCTTAAATATAAGAACGCTTTAAAGAGCCCTGACGTTCTAAATGACTTCAGACGGCATACCTTATATATAATGTATAACTTCACTGAAAATCGTTTTTTATTTTTTACATTGTCTTCAGCTTTTGTGTGGCATGGCCGACGGAAGGCAATGGTCATTTTTTTGTCTGGAAAAAAAAAAACATGCTTGTTCCATTAACCAGGCCTTTGTTGTAGCACTGCCATGCACGTAATCCATCGATGAAAACTCTCTGCTCAACTCTAACATAAATTTCTTTATATTCTCACTGGTGCAAAAACATGTGCGTACACGTCGTACACGCATTGTATAGCGCGAGGCGCCGTCGGCCGCTAAGCTTTCCTGAATAGACTTATAGACTGTCCCGCATTTCATGGCGAACAGAGTGAGAGAAAAAAAATCACGCGTATAAGGTGCGAACGGTTGTACTGAACTATTCGCACATATATGCGGCCTTTATA